AGTAATTTTTTTGAGATGGTATCTTGCTCTGTCACCTGGGCGAGAGTACAGTGGCATGATCTCGGCTCACAATAACCATTGCTGCCTGGGTTCAGGGGATTCTCCTGCCCCAGCCTCCTGAGTAGCTGGGATTACAGGCACCCGCCACCATGCCTAGCTAATTTTTGTCTTTTTAGTAGAGATGGTTTTTGCCATGTTGGTCAGGCTGGTCTTGAACTCTTGACCGCAGGTAATCTTCCCACCTTGGCCTCCTGAAGTACTGGGATTACAGGCATGGGCCACCGTGCCTGGCCAGTAATTATTTTTAAGTAAAATTTTTATTGACTTGTAAAGAAAGTACACAGGCCCTAGGCATGGTGGCTCACACCTATAATCCTGATACTTAAGGAGACTAAGATGGGAGGATGGCTTGAGCCTAAGAGTTTGAGACCAGCCTTGGCAATATAGCCAGACCCCATCTCAACAACAATGACAACAAAAACAAAAATGAATAGAAAGTACAGCGAGTACATAGCTTAATAATTGTGTATTTTCACAAAGTGAACACACCCATATAAGGGGTAGCAACATTACTGGCATCTCCAAATCGTCTTTATGCTCCTATTACAGTCACTACTTTACCACATTTCAGGTCTAGCTGCTCCTGTTACGGTTACTACTTTACTGCACCTCAGTTCTATCTGCAATGCCGACTAGATTAGTTTTGAATTTATTTTTTTATTTCTAAATAAATGATACAGCCGGGTGTGGTGGCTCACGCGTGTAATTTAGCACTTTGGGAGGCCAGGGCGGGCGGATCGTGAGGTCAAGAGTTTGAGACCAGCCTGACCAACGTGAAGAAACCACGTCTCCACTAAAAATATAAAAAGTAGCTGGGCAGGGTAGCACACATGTGTAATCCCAGCTGCTCAGGAGGCTGAGACAGAATCACTTGAACCTGTGAGGCGGAGGTTGCCATTGCACTCCAGCCTGGGTGACAGAGTGGAACTCCGTTCACCCCCCCACGCCCCCACTCCTGCCAAAAAAAAAAAAAAAAAAAGATAACTTGAACAAACCTTGGGCCACTGGTACAGTTTTGACAATAGGTAATTTGAATTTTCCAAAATAAGTTTAATACCCCACACACACAACACACACATAGTAATGAACCCCACCTGCCACCCACCTTCAACAATTATCCATTCACGGATAATTATCTTCATCTAACCTTCCCAGTTATTTTGACATAAACTCAGGCATCATGTTATTTTAGTCAATATTTCTAAATATGTATTTCTTTGTTTCTTTTTTGTTTTTTTGAGATGGAGTTTTGCTCTTGTTGCCCAAGCTAGAGTGCAATGGTGTGATCTTGTCTCACTGCAACCTCCACCTCCCGGGTTCAAGCGATTCTCCTGCCTCAGCCTCCTGAGTAGCCAGGATTACAGGCACATGCCACCGTGCCTAGCTAATTTTGTTGGTTTGTTTAATTTGTATTTTTAGTAAAGGTGGGGTTTCACCATGTTAGCCAGGCTGGTCTTGAACTCCTGATCTCAGGTGATCCACCCGCCTCAGCTTCCCAAAGTGCTGGGATTATAGGCGGGAGCCACTGCACCTTGCCTCTAAATATGTATTTCTTAAAGATGAAGAGGACTCCTTTTTTAAAATATAAAAGAGCTTTAAAAAATATAATTACACCTTCAAGAAACGAATGAATTCTTGAAATCAAGTTTTCCATCAGAGTTCAAAGCACCCCAAATAGTTTATGATTTCCTATGTTGTTTGTTTGTATTAGAGTTTATATATTACATTGGATGGTATGTCCCTTTAGTAGCTTTTAATCTCAAGGTTCTCCATGGGTCTCTTTTTTTTCCTTGTAATATTTATTTTTTAAAAAGCTGGTTGTTGGTTTTATTTTTTCACATGTTCAAATGTGTATTACCATTTAACCTTTAATGAAATTGTGATTAATATGAACTTCTGAAATTGGGGTATTATTTATACAATTAAATCTACAGATCTTAAGTGTTTGGTTTGAATTTTGACTGCTGTATACATCTGTGTATCTACCACTCTGTATTTTGTTTCCAGTTGTAATCCTTTTTTTGATTGGAAAAGAGGAAAAATCTCTTCTGTTCTTTAGACTGTATAGATTAGGGTAACTGCAGTAGCAAGGAGAAAAGAATAATAATTTCTTGCTATTACAAATACAAATTAGGAATATAAATTTTTCTGCTTTTCATGAAGTAGCCAAATGGATGAAGTAAGAAAAAATGGATTTTGGAAAATACTGCTTGTTAGCAGAGGACAATGTGTAGTGTATTAGCTCTGAAACATGCTAGAGCTAAAGGTGAGAGAAGTGTAAGTGCACTGCATTGGAATTTATATCTTTGCAAAAACGTTGTGGCTATTTGGTTATTCTTCTAAATTGTATGCACTCTTTCCTGCACCCTGTTCCTCCTCTGCCTTAATTTTAAGCATTGGATGGACTTCATCGCCTCTAAGTTTCTCTGAAGTAAGGAGGGTCATGTGGTTATTGAGACTAGGAAAGAGTTAACTGTAGTTGAGGCCTAGATACGTCTTGAGTATGTTATTTGAACAAATATTAACTAACTTGGTCCTTTCATCATTTCTTTGTCTATTATTTGAATTGATTGCTGTATTTAACCTTGGGAACATTTATTGATTGGCTGTTTCGTTAGATTAGTGCATTGATCTTAGTTTGATTCTAGTAAGAGAGAATGGAAGTTACTAAGAGTTACCGAGTGACTACTCTTTGAGCACTCATCTTAAATAAAGTACCCTCTTACCTACCAAGTGATAGAGGTGATGATAGCCTTTTTTAGAATGTTTAGATCAGGAAACAAAATCAGAGTTCCAGTGATTTGCCTAAGGCCATACATCTAATAACTACCAAGAACAAGGATCTAAACCCTGAACTTTTATTCTAGAATTAAAAGTTTTCACTAAAATGTGCTTTCTTAGCTTGGCATGATGGTGCACACCTGTAGTACCAGCTACTTAGGAGGCTGAGGCAAGAGAATTGCTTGAGTCCAGGAGTTTGAAGCTGCTGTGAGCTATGATCTTGCCACTGCACTCTACCTGGGTGACAGTGAGACTTTGTCTCAAATAAGTAAATTACTTTAATAAAATTTGGTGTTTTCATGAACATTAGAAACCTAAGCAATACTAAGTCTGCCTCTGCAGTCTTTGCTGCTTAGATTTAAAGGCCTTTTATTTAATACATGAAAAAACAATACTATTTAAAACACAAAATTACGTGAGATTCAATTATGCTAAAAATTTCAGCAGGAACATACAAATCTGAAGTTGTTTCAAGAGAAAGTTTCGTACTTAAAAAATTAGTAAAGCAAAAATAATTTGTCTAATATCTATAATGCAATATGACATGAAACCATTATTACTGTTTTTAGAGGTATTTAATAGGAACATAGTTTATGGAACTGTCTTTAGGTGATTCAGTTCAGGAAGAATGGTTTTCTTATAACTTGAAGTTACTTAAATTTCTAGGTTTTTTTTTTTTTTGGATATTTTAAAGTGAAAAACTATTTTCATTTTATTAAAAATAGGTTCATAAATTTAAAAGCATTTTCAAAAAGTAACATTACTAATAGAAATTTATTTTTAAGAGTTGATACCTTGTAAGTCTTCTAAAAATTATTTACCTGTATTCATATTCAGATCTGTATATGAATCAGATTTAGTTTCTTTTTAAAACCTTATTTACATTGAAGGACTACAGATTTAGTTTCTTATATGAAAAAAGGACTTCTGTGATGATTGTTTCTGCTCCTTTTCAAATATTAAGAACATTTTAATAATCATAATTTTACTCATCTGAATTTAACTTTTCTATTGGGTACTCTATTTCATAAACAGATTTTGGATTTTAAATATTTAAATTTAAATTGTTACATATCCCAAGCTTATTAACTAGAATTTTTGTCCCCAACTATGGTCTTGCTACCCTCCCCACTCCAAAAAATTCTTGATTGTTTAAGAAAAATCTACTTTCATACTTGCCGTAGTATATTTTTTAAAAATCCTAGTTGCCATTTTCTTGGTTTCATTGAGCTTTTCTGTTCTTAGAAGAAACATCAGAAAAAGTATGGTGTTTTCCTCTACTGGAAGTGTAAATTGCTTCTGGAAAGGCCTTTTTATGTAAAGTTGGTTGGGTTAAGACAACTGGAACAACTAGTTAAGCTCATTCCTTCTGTACTTATTTTGAACTTCAAAGCTCCTAGTTTTAACCTCTGGTTCAGTCCCATCTTAATAGATTTAAGTGGCTTTTGTTTTGTTTTGTTTTTTTCATGCAGGTTCTGCTCATTAATCACCACGAGTGTGGATCTGAAGAAGAGTTTATTACCTCTCTTTTTTTGAGTATGTTTAACTTCAGATACACACAACGTAGCCTCTCCTTCCCTATTAGATTCTTAGAAGGTAGTTATATTTTTTTATAGTCTCCTTCTTGTGGCTTTAGTAGTTGTGATCAATAAGCATAAAACTATTCCTTTCATACTGGGCTACTGCATGCAAATCAGTTCATTTAAAACCTCCTGGAGGTCTTTGGCATGCCAGACATAAAACTTTGAGTGTTTGTTTGTGGAGGTAACCATGTTCCAATGAAATATAAGAGTTTAAATATTTTATCAAGAATTTGGGAGAGTTATAGTTTCTGGGAATTAGTGTCTTTAAGGGCTTGCTTTTGGTGTGTGGCTTTCAAAATTAATTTAAAATGGGAAATGATAATAGAAATACTCATGTGGTATTAGATATATCTTTGAATGACTAGTAGAGAGAAATTAGCTTGCCTTGTACCTAGTGTATGCTTAACAAAATAGCTGATTTATCGTGCTTTATTAAGCATTAATGAGCGTATATGTTTTATATTTGTAATTTTTAGACAAATTGATATACTTTTTCTCTTGTACATGGATATGATGACTAAAATTCATTCTTTAAAATACATATATATATGTGTGTGTGTGTGTATATATATCTAGGGCTGGAAGAAAGAAAGAATTCTGGCTGAATACCCTGATGGCAGGATAATTATGGTTCTTCCTGAAGACCCAAAGTATGCCCTGAAAAAGGTAAATTTCCAGTAAAACTTAATGTAGAGTGGGCAATACATTTTGCAATTAATTTTAAGAGGATAACAGATTGCCGGCATAGTATATTTAAACACCTATGCTGAGACAAGAAATAAGCATTTAAAGAATATAACTCAGTTCAGAAATTATGTTAAACTTTGTAGTGTGTCTAATATATGAACTCTAAATGAATTTATTACTGTCCAGTATTATTACTAAATTGTCCTGTATTATTAGTAAATAGTTTGAGTGCTAAAATAGACATGCTTATCTTCTGTTAATAATGCCAAGTAAATGATTTCACAATCAGAAATAAAAGCTGAATTATATAATTCAGAAAATTGATAAAATGTCAAGTTTTATTCTAAGGGAAAATTTCTAAATAAAAGCTTATTGCAGAAGAAGATTGCTAAGTAGATCATAGTAAACCTGAAATTAAACATGAATTAATGGTATAATATTTTTAAGAGATAAGGATATATTCCAATTTATAAATATAATGCAGAAAACTTAAAAGTTTATCTTATCTAGTGTGAGGCAGGTGTTAGTCTTAGAGTTCCATACTTCAAGTATTCAGCATTTATTGTGTTGAGAAATGAACCAGAGAGATAATGAAGCCTGGAACCATTTTATTACATAAGTTATTTTAAAAATCAGGAACCATAAGATAAACTTATTTTTAAATAAGTTAAATAAGTTCATTACACTTTCAAATAGTAGACTCAGTATGTTTTTCTTCAACCTCTGGATGCTTTTTCAGAAGAAATACCTCATAATGTAAGCGATGGGTTCAATTGCTTATTTGAAAAACTTTAATAATTACACTAGAGTGTGTCCAAAATATCTAGAAACACAAGGAAAGCAGTTTATTTATTATACTTTATTTATGTTAACAATTGGACTTCTTTAAACTTAAGAGTACTTCACCTGAAAAGATGGTTGAAGGAAAATACTTTGCACCTATTGTTGGAAAATTTAACTAATAGTCTATTTAAAATATGTAAGTTTATCTTGTGGTTCTTAACTTTATTCTGTTTATCTGGATGGACAATCTTAGATACCCAAGTAAGCTTTCAATTACTACTGCCTAACAGAATAGACAGTAGGATTTTACGGTGACATGTAAGCACGCCCAACCTGTCTTGTTTTTGAAACACTGATGCATGCACAATAAATTCTTGTTGAATTAATGTTGGATCGGTGATTAACCACAAGTTGACCCATGAACAAGATAGTGGTTATGGGTGCTGGCTTCTCATGGAGTTAAAAATCCAATTATAACTTTTTTTTTTTTTTTAAGAGACAAGGTCTCACCATGTTGCTCAGAATGGTCTCTAACTCCTGGCCTCAAGGGATCCTCCTGCCTCAGCCTCCCACAGTGCTGGGATTATAGGCGTGAGCAACCTTGCCCGGCCCACCTACAACTTTTGATTCCCCCAAAACTTTACTACTAATACCCTACTGTTGACTGGTAACGTTATTGATAACATAGATAATTGATCAAACCCATACTTAAACTAGTATCTACATATATTCTGTGAGTTCATGACATACCTAACCTTTTCTTGTTTTTTTGTTTTTTTTATTTCTGGGCTACATAGTTCATCTGCTAGTTTTTTTTATTGTCACAATTCTCCAAAAATGTTTCCAATATATTTATTGAAAAAATTCCCACATATAAGTGGACCATTCAAACTTTTGTTGTTCAAGGGTCAACTTAAATAAAAATTAAATTATGGTATTTTTGGAATTCTAGCTATTCACATTTGGAAATGCACAGTGGGAACTTTTGCTATACTGCCATATGTAGCAGCCAGACTTTTCTTACTCAGAACCCTCAGTAGATGCTAATTTCCTCTTTTTAGTTTATCTGAACAAAATCTTAGTAACCCATAATAGGTTAAAAAATAAAATCTAGAGAAGTGTGAATCACTTGTCTTTAGGAAATGAATCAACAGTTGTAGGATGCTTGCTCTCTCAGGATTAGGAGGACTTGAGTTTTCATCACTGAGTAAGGAATTTCCTGAATGTTATTCTGTGTGCCAGAGGTATGAATGTTTAACCCTCTGAAGGATTATTTGCATTTTAAACTTAATAACATAAATGAATGCTATTGGACTCTATTTTTAGTTGTTTTGTTGTTGTTGTTGTTTTAAAGAGAATCCCACTCTGTCACCCAGGCCAAAGAGCAGTGGTGAGATTATAGCGCACTGTAACCTCAAACTCTTGAGCCCAAGTGACCCTCCTACCTCAGTCTCCTGAGTAGCTAGGGCTAATGGCCAGTGCCACCACATCTGGCTGATAAAAGAATGTTGTAAAGATGGGTTTTGCTGTGTTGTCCATGCTGGCCTTGAACTCCTCCTCTAGCCTCAGCCTCCCAAAGTGCTGGGATTATAGGTGTCAGCCACTGCTCTCTGACTTTTGTTTCCAATGTCTTTTAACTGGGGACTAATATTTGAGTACCTACAGAGGTCTTTTGATTGCCTGCAAACAGTTTGAGTTTATCATGTTTGACTTTCATCAGTTAGGAGCTAAACTGCAAGAAGCATGGTTTGATGACAGTAATATTTTGGGTTCACGTCTCTGCTCCTTGATTTTCTAGATGTCTGATAACTGATAAGAGAAAGTTGTTTAACCTTTGAGTTTTATTTCTTCCATATGTAAAGTGAGGAACCATAAACCTTCAAGAAATGTGGATTTAAATGAAATGATATTTATAAAGTGCTTCGAATAATATCTGGCCTATAAATGGTTGATAGGAAGTAAACATGAGTTTCTTTTCTCTATACTCACTTCCATTTTACTGATGAGAGTACTAATTAAGGGTTGGGAAGAAAAGTGGCTTGCCCAGCTAAGATTCCAGTCAAGTTCTCTCCAATTCACAAATTAGATGCTTTTAATTGGAAGCCTTATTGTTCCTGATAATCTGTTGTAGGTGCTCTCACCTCATCCCTCTTGTTTTCTAGATTGTTGGGTTTGGCATCAACCTCTAGTTCTTCCTTCATTTTGCAAAGTGTTCCACAGGGATTAAAAAACAGTTATTGATCAGTACAGTCATTCAAAAGAACTTCTTTTTTTTCTTCTTTGAGACGGAGTCTCGCTCTGTCGCCCAGGCTGGAATGCATGGGTATGGGTAGGTTACCATAATCTTAAGTAATCTCGGCTCACTGCAACCTCTGCCTTCTGGGTTCAAGTGATTCTGCTGTCTCAGCCTCCTGAGTAGCTGGGATTACAGGTGCATGCCACCACGCCTGGCTAATTTTTTTGTGTTTTAGTAGAAACAGGGTTTCACCATGTTGCCCAGGCTGGTTGTGAACTCCTGAGCTCAGGCAGTCCACCCGCCTTGGCCTCCCAAAGTATTAAGATTACAGGTGTGAGCTACCATGCCCAGCCCAAAAGAACTCTTTAGAGGATGCCCTGCTTGGAATAAGGTGGACCTACTGAACTGAAATAGTATGTTTTTACATGTATATAACATTTTCATTTAAAAATTACTGTTCTTTATTTGGCAGGTTGACGAGATTAGAGAGATGGTTGACAATGATTTAGGTTTTCAACAGGCTCCACTAATGTGCTATTCCAGAACCAAAACACTTCTCTTCATTTCTAATGACAAAAAAGTAGTTGGCTGCCTAATTGCGGAACATATCCAATGGGTAAGTGATTTTTAAAGTGTGTTCTTACGTAATTTGGTGTTTAATGAGTTTACAGCATAATCTCGAATAACATAATCCTGATAAATTTGTCTCCATTTTATGCAAGGAAGAGTGGTTTTTTTGAGACTGTGTTTTACTCTTGTTGCCCAGACTGGAGTGCAATGGTGTGATCTCGGCTCACCACAACCTGTGCCTCCCAGGGTCAAGTGATTCTCCTGCCTCAGCCTCCAGAGTAGCTGGGATTATAGGCGTATGCCACCATGCCTGGCTAATTTTGCATTTTTAATAGAAATGGGGTTTTATCATGTTGACCAGGCTTCTCTTAAATTCCTGACTTCAGGTGATCCGCCCACCTCGACCTCCCAAAGTGCTGGGATTACAGGTGTGAGCCACTGCGTCTGGCCTTAAGGAAGAGTTTTAATGCAAGAATTCCCATGTGTGAGTCTTTACCAAAGTGGAATAATGGTTATGCATGGCAATTAGTTTCTCAAGAATTCTAAAAATTCTGTAGAATGAGAATACCATCAGGCTGGGCACAATGGCTTACACCTGTAATTCCAGCACTTTGGGAGGCCGAAGTGGGTGGATCTTGTCTCAAGCCTGGCCAAAATGGGGAAACCTCGTCTCTACTAAAAATACAAAAGTTAGGTGGTGCATACGTGTAATCCCAGCTACTCAGGAGGCTGAGGCAGGAGAATTGCTTGAACCTGGGAGGTGGAGGTTGCAGTGAGCTGAGATTTCGCCATTGCACTCCAGCCTGGGCAACACAGGGGGACTTGTCTCAAAAAAAAAAAAAAAAAATCAAAATACTATCAAAGTTTATTTAGGAAGTTTCCATATTGGATACTAATGTAATGTCTTTCTCAAATAGTCCCTCTAGCACTGGAGTAAGTCAAGGCTAGGTAAACTAGAGTAGGCAAAATTCAGCTTGTTTTTATAAATAAAATTTTATTGCAACCTACTCATATCCATTTGGCTCACATATTTATGGCTACTTTTGTACCACAAAGGCAGAGTTGAATAGTTGGAACAGAAACCAGGTGGATTGCAGTGCCTAAAATATCTGTGCCTTTATAAAACGCCCACACTAGCCAGGCATGGTGGCTCACGCCTGTAATCCCAGCACTTTGGGAGGTGGAGACAGGTGGATCACGAGGTCAGGAGATGGAGATCATCTTGGCTAACATGGTGACACCCTGTCTCTATTAAAAATACAAAAACTTAGCCAGGTGTGGTGGCATGTTCTTGTAGTCCCAGCTACTTGGGAGGCTGATGCAAGAGAGTTGCTCAAACCTGGGAGGCGGAGGTTGAGTGAGCTGAGATTGTGCCACTGCACTCCAGCCTGGGTGACAGAGTGATACTCTGTCTCAAAAAAAAAAAAGAAAAGAAAAAGCCCATACCACCAGGTGCGGTGGCTCACACCTATAATCCCAGCACTTTGGAAGGCCGAGGTAGGTGGATCACAAGGTTAGGAGTTCAAGATCAGCCTGGCCAACATGGTGAAACCCCATCTCTACTAAAAATACAAAAATTCGCTGGGTGTGGTGATATGTACCTATAATTCCAGCTACTCAGGAGGCTGAGGCAGGAGAATTGCTTGAACCTGGGAGGTAGAGATTGTAGTGAACTGAGATCATGCCACTGCACTCTAGCCTGGACAACAGAGCAAGATTCTGTCTCAAAAAAAAATTAAGAGAAAAGAAAAGAAAGGCCCACACTTGGAATAGGTTACAATTTCTTTTGTTGAACTCTAAATGAGTAGTTGTCTTGTGTGTAGGAGCCAATTTGTACAAAAAGCAAACAATGGAATCATATGTGTTTACATTATGAGTGTTAGTAGAAACTGAGACCATCCTAAGAGAACAGAAACTTCTGGACTCCCTAATAATGCTCACTTTGAGGCAGACCTGAATTCTTTTTTCAGCTTTAAGTTCGTGCTCATGAACTCAGTGTACATTGTGTGTGACTACTGTTCAGATGGTGTCTTTTAGCGTATTAACTCATTTATGCCAAATGTTGCAACAATTTTTTGACTTTTTGCGTGAGTGAAAAATTAGACCTTGGCAATGATCTTGAGCGGTAGGATATAAATAACTTGCACATGCTTAGCATTTCAGTAATGGAATGCTAGGCATAAGTGGGTTAATAGCTGCTTGCGCAAATGTATGCATCGTCATAAAATTTTCTAATAGCCCGGGTGGGGTGGCTCATGCCTATAATCCCAGCACGTTGGGCAGCCAAGGCCGGCAGATCACCTCAGGTTGGGAGTTTGAGACCAGCCTGACCAACATGGAGAAACTCCATCTTTACAAAAAATACAAAATTAGCCTGGCATGGTGGCGCATGCCTGTAATCACAGCTACTCAGAAGGCTAAGGCAGGAGAATCGCTTGAACCCAGGAGGCAGAGGTTGCAGTGAGCTGAGATTGCACCACTGCACTCCAGCCTAGGAGACAGAGCAATACTCTGTCTATTAAAAAAAAAAAAGTAATAAATGACTAAATAAATATTCAGCCTGAAATTATATAGTTCTTATGAACCTTGCTATAATAACAAAATTGATTTAAATAAGTAACTGATAAGGTAGTTTGGGGATATTAATTTGATATAAATTGACTGACTCATAGAATTTTGCCATACTGAAATTGAGTTAATTTTACATAGCGCATACTATTGTGTTTTTAACTTTCTATTCCACCTAGTTCCATGAATGACTTATAGTGGTGTTTAGACTAGAAGGATAACAATGTAATGTTTGTTAACTCTTTTAACTGTGTTGTCTGATTGCTTTTAAGTTTTATACCTTGTCTCATCAGAAGGCTGGGCATGGTGGCTCACACCTATAATCCAGGAGTTCAAGACCAGCCTGGTCAACACGGTGAAACCGCTAAAAATAAAAAAATTAGGCAGGCATGGTGGCACATGCCTGTAGTCACAGCTACTCTGGAGGGTGAGGCAGGAGAATCTCTTGAACCCAGGAGGCAGAGGTTGCAGTGAGCTGAAATCACACCACTATACCCCAGCCTGGGTGACTGAAGGGTCCCTGTCTTGAGGAAAAAAAAAAAAAAAGACTAGTTGTGTTCTTTTTTGGCAGCTAGACTTGCAGAGTTATTTTTTTCTTTTCTTTTCCCATAAAGACAACCACAATAAAAGAGACGTATGTTTTTTAAGGTACTTTTCTGTCCCCCCCCCCCCCCGCCCCAATAAGCCCTGTATATTTTATTCTGGCTCTAGGAAACAGGGAAAAAAAAAAATAAAACAGAGGGAAACAAATCTTTCACACACACCATTATGATTTAACCGACATTAATTCAGGAACGCTAGAGCAGAAATATATTTATACATATAAACATGTATTTCTTTATACACACATAGATGCATGTTCAGATTTTAGTCTTACTGGAGTTTATGTCTTCATTTTTTTAAAAAATAAATGCCTTTAAAGGTCATCAAATGCAAACTAATACCTCTATGTCTCCTCATTAGTCATTTACTGTTGTTTCCATTGCATTCACAGTTTGTGTGTTAACCACTTCTGTAATTTATCAAACTGCACATTTGGAGATGTAAGGGAAAAACTTGGTTTAAGTAATATTCTATGTATCAGTTACCCATTACATCATTTTTTCCATCATTATTTGCAACTTCACACATCTTGTAGTTTTCTATGTAGTCTCTCTCTGCAGTCTGCTTCAGCTTCTAGTGCTGTACATATCTGTATCTTCTGGGTGGTACTACCTGTGATCCATGAGCTTAGGGTCAGGCATAAACCACCTGAGGTGGATTCTAATTTGGTCTTTGCTTCAGAGCTGAATTCTGTTGGCAAGGGCACTGAATGTTTGAAGATGTGAGTTGTTTTTGCAGGTGCTTCTATTTCAGCAGAGGCTCCTAGCTTAGTTTTTTCTTTAGGTTTAGAAAGTGGCTTTATTTTGCTACTTTTTGTCTGCAGTGATTTGGCTGCTCCAAAAATTTGCTGGCTTGTAGTTTATACCTTTTACCCTGTTACTTTAGCAGTTATTACTGACTGAACTGGGTAGCATACATTGCTCCTGAAGTGACCAGTCCCAGAAGATGAGTAATTTTCTTTTCTTTCTTTCTTTTTCTTTTTTAAGCGCACCATTGTCCTGGAGGTGGGGCTTACGAATGTGATAAGTAATTTTCTTAAACTTAAAACCAAACCCAACAATCCTGAAACTGTAATAGCTCCCATTTTTGGAAGAAAATCTTGAGGAGGATTCTTCAGATAGACATAAGCATCCTTTCCAAATTGTACTGTATCCATGATGCAATTTTTCATAAAGACATAAATACCTTTGCACCAGCCAATATAATGACCAGTTGCAGTGCAGATGGAAGCAAAGCCCATTTGTAAATGACCAAGCTGCTCTTCAACATATTTAGACTGGAGCGGTGGTGCAGTATAGATGAGGAGCTGCTCTGTTTTCACTAGCTGCTTTTTGGATTCTTCTTCTTTGGCTGCATGTACACTTACAGGTGCATATATCAAACCTGTGGGTCTACGACCCTTTTGGCCAAGGTTTTCAGACCTTGAGGGACTTCTTTAAAAAAAGAGATGGCACGCCAGGTGCAGTGGCTCACACCTGTAATCCCAGCACTTTGAGAGGCCAAGGCAGGCAGATCACGAGGTCAAGAGATGGAGGCCATTCTGGCCAACATGGTGAAAACCCTGTCTCTACTAAAAAATACATAAATTAGCTGGGTGTGGTGGCATGTGCCTGTAGTCCCAGCTACTTGGGAGGCTGAGGCAGGAGAATTGCTTCAACCTGAGAGGTGGAGAGTGCAGTGAGCCGAGATTGCTCCACTACACTCCAGCCTGGCACCTGGCGACAGAGCGGACTCTGTCTCAAAAAAAAAAAAAAAAAAAAGAACAAAAAAGAGATTGCAATGTGATGAAAGGCTTTCTAAATTATTAATTTCTCTGCTATTCCTATTCTCAATTATTGTACAACTGTAAACCCTAGAACTGTGACAGCAATCACAGAAATAGTTGTTGTTATTGCTTTGTTCTTAATATGTACTTCTGCTGGTTCTTGGCATGCAGGAAGTGGAGAGAACTAATGTTCACTTCCTTATTGGGGGGCTCCTCATGATGGGAAGGGACTTCGTATGTATCACTTGTATTACATCTCTCAAATGAGCGATGAGGGATATTGCCAATGAGGAACCCAAAGATTAGAGAAATTGTAACCTACTTTCATGGTCATACAACTAGTAAGTGGACTGGAATAGAATGCAGATCCAGATGGTCTGTTTACTAAAAATGGCAGTGAAAGCATAAGTGGCCAAATAGTTGGTTAAGCCAGTCAAATGTTGTAACCTCCTCAGTACGATCAGTACAGACAGTTGCTAATTAATAATCTCACTCAAAAATTTTCCCCTCATTTTTGACACCTGTAGGGCTACAGAGTTATAGAAGAGAAACTTCCAGTTATCAGGTCAGAAGAAGAAAAAGTCAGATTTGAAAGGCAAAAAGCGTGGTGCTGCTCAACATTACCAGAGCCTGCAATCTGTGGGATCAGTCGAATATGGGTATTCAGCATGATGCGTCGGAAGAAAATTGCTTCTCGCATGATTGAATGCCTAAGGTAACTTGAATGTAATCCTTCAAATCATTTTTAGTATAGGACTTAAGTAGACTTTTAGTATAGATTGGCATTTAATTAACATGTGTATAACCTTTATTTGTTTTAATTATTTTGCCTGAGATTATTAGTGTATTGGATCTGTAAGTACTTTTTATGTGAATTTAATGTGAGGAGGAAGAAAGCACTGTGGGTTAAATACTATTAATTTTAAGCCATTTCCACTTACTTATTGTAAGTTACTTATTGTAACTATAATATTAGGCCAAAATAACCTACTTATTTCAAGTTGTGCTTTATTTTGAAGAATTTTAAACATAAGCAAAGAAATGTGAAAAGTTTCTTGGGAGTTCAGCTTTTAGAGAAATTTATCTTAATTCAAGAATATTATTTGTAAACTATTGAATCTCTTACTAGAAAGATAGAAAGATATTAAAGGGAGAATCAGAAAAATTGTTTTGTTTTTGGTCCTATAAAGTACCTCTGATAAAAGATTAATGAAGGAGGTTAAAATTAATCATTCAAAAGAGGTTTTTAGGTCAGCCTTTTTTTTTGAGATGTAGTCTCGTTCTGTTGCTGGGGCTGGAGTGCAATGGTGTGATCTCTGCTCATTGCAACCTCCACCTCCCAGGTTCAAGCAGTTCTCCTGCCTCAGCGTTCCAGTAGCTGGGATTACAGGCACCCACCACCATGGCTAATTTGTTGTTTTTGTTTATTCACAGAATCATTGTCTACTGTTACTTGTGGGGTATAGCTTTCAAAATAATACTTTATTGTTACAAGTGAAATTCTAACACCCTAAGAATCTTAATCTTAATGTATATATGTTCTTTTATTTTATTTTATTTTTTGAGATGGAGTCTTGCTCTGTCACCCAGGCTGGAGTGCAGTGGTGCTATCTCAGCTCACTGCAACCTCTGCCTCCCAGGTTCTTGAAATTCTCCTGCCTCAGCCTCCCGAGTAGCTGGGACTACAGGCACACACCACCACACCCAGCTAAGTTTTTTTGTATTTTAGTAGAGACGGGGTTTCATGGTGTTGCCCAGGCTGGTCTGGAACTCCTGAGCTTAGGCAATCTGCCCACCTCAGCCTCCCAAAATGTTGGGATTACGGGCATGAGCCACCACGCCCAGCCTCTTTTATTACTAAGTAATAATCCCGAAGGGCTCACATCTATCTACCCTTTTCATGATAAGGGGTAGTATGTTTTTACCTCTTCAGAACTAAGCCTGAAAACAAATTGATTCTAAAGGAGGGTATTGCCCCTCCTTTAAATCTTGTGGCAATCATAAGATGGTTCTAGTTTATAAAAAAAAAAGCAAACTGGTAATAGTAGTTGTATGTTCCATGTGGTAGTAAAATTGTCACCATAAGCTTCCTGTTAAAACACAAAGAGTTTTTACATTTTTCATTTGTTTCTTCTTTTATGGGTCTTCTGTTACTAGTGTCCAGCACTCCTTGTTAAGATTATAGTATGAGATTATATAGTAGGCTAAATGCTTAAAATTATTTTTTATTTATTTATTGTTGTTGGAGACAATCTTACTCTCACCCAGGCTGGAGTGTAGTGGTGTGATCTCGGCTCACTTCAGCCTCCACCTCCCAGGTTCAAGCATTTCTCCTGTCTCAGCCTCCCAAGTAGCTGGGATTACAGGTGCATGCTACCACACTCAGCTGGTTTTTGTTTTTTTATTTATTTAGAGAAGGAATCTTGCTCTATCGCCCAGGCTGGAATGCAGTGGCACGATCTCGGCCCACTGCAACCTCTACTTCCCAAGTTCAAGCGATTCTCTAGCCTCAGCCTCCCAGGCAGCTGGAATTACAGGCACCCACCACCCTACCAGCTAATTTTTGTATTTTTAGTAGAGATGGGGTTTCACCATGTTGGCCTGCTGGTCTCGAACTCCTGACCTCAAGGGATCCGCCCATCTCTGCCTCTCAAACTGTTGCTGGGATTACAGGCGTGAGTCACCATGCCCAGCCAAGAATTTTTTTAAAAAATAAAATCGTTATTGATATATAATTATATACCGTAAAATTCATCTTTTTAAAGTTTGTAGATCAGTGGGTGTTAATATATTCAGAAGGTTGTACACTAGTCATCACTATCTGGTTTCAGGACAATTTCATTATTTCCCCAAAAAACTCCATCTCCATTAGCAGAGACTCCCTGTTTCTCCCTATCCCCAGCCCCTGGCAACCACCAATCTCATTTCTGCCTCAGTGGATTTGCTTATTGTGAGCATTTCATGTAAATGAAATCCCACAACATACGAGTTTTGGCAACTGGTTTCTTTCACTTAAGAATGTTTTTAAGGATCATCTACATTGTAGCATGTGTTAGTGTGCTTCATTCTTTTTTTAACTGCCAAATCATATAACACTATGTAGTTATATCACCTTTTATTTATCCATTCATTAGTTGATGAGCATTTGGATTGTTTCCACTCACTGGCTATTATAAATAGTGTTGCCATGAACATTTATGTACAAATTTTTGTGTGGATGCATGTTGTTATTTCTCTCAGGTGTGTACTTAGGAGTAGAATTGCTTGACCATATGGTAGGTATGTGTTTAACATTTTGAGGAATTGCCAGACTTTTTCACAGTAGCTGCATTATACAATCCCATTAATAATGTGTGAGAGTTCTAATTTCTTCACATCATCACCAAAATTTGTTTTAGTCTGTATTTTAGCCATCCTGGTGGTTGTTAAGTGTAATTCATCGTGGTTTTGCTTTGTATTTCTAATGAATAGTAGATGTTGACCATTTTTTTTTAATGTGCTTATTGGCCATTTATCAAATGTCTATTCAAATTCCCTGTCCACTTTTATTTATTTAATTTTTTTTTTTTTTGCTCTGTCGCCCAGTCTGGAATGCAGTGGCGCTATCTCAGCTCACTGCAACCTCTGTCTCCTGGGTTCAAGCAATTCTGCCTCAACCTCCCAAGTAGTTAGGACTATAGGCTTGCCCCACTACACCCTGGCTAATTTTTGTACTTTTAGTAGAGAAGGGGTTTTGTCGTGTTGCCCAGGCTGGTCTTGAACTGGTGTCAAGTGATCCACCCACCTTGGTCTCCCAAAGTGTTCTGATTACAGGCATGAGCCACTGCACCTGGCCAATTTTTCTGGGTTTGTTTTTTTTTTGTCTATTTTGTAAAGATGGGGTTTTGCCCTGTTACCCAGGTTGATCTCCTTGAACTCCTTGGGCTCAAGCATTTTGCCTGCCTTGGCCTCCCAAAGTGCTGGGATTATAGGTGTGAGCCATTGCATTTGGCCCTAGGTCTTTAATATCTTACAGCAATGTTTAGTAGTTTTCAGTATACAAGTCTTAACACTTCTTTCGTTAAATTTATTTTTTTGTTTGCTGCTGTTGTTTGTGGAGATAGCATCTCACTCTGTCACCCAGGCTGGAATACGGTGGTACAAACACAGCTCACTGCAGGCTCAACTTCCTGGGGTCAGGAAATCCTCTTGCCTCAGCCTCTTGAGTAGCTGAGACCATAGGCATCTGCCTGGCAAAAATTTGTTTGGTACAGTTGGAGTTTTGCTGTGTTGCCTGGGCTGGCCTTGAGCTCTTGGGCTCAAGCAATCCACTCGCCTTGGCCTCCCAAAATACTGGGATTACAGGTGTGAGCCACTGCACCTGGCAAGTATTTAATTTTTTTTAACGTTATTGTAAATGGAATTTTTCCCTGTAAGTTTCAGTTTTAGGTTGTTCATTACAAGTGTATAAAAATATATTTTACTTTTTTTTTTTTGAGATGGAGTTTCGCTCTTGTTACCCAGGCTGGAGTGCAATGGTGCAATCTCAGCTCACCGCAACCTCCGCCTCCTGGGTTCAGGCAATTCTCCTGCCTCAGCCTCCTGAGTAGCTGGGATTACAGGCACGTGCCACCATGCCCAGCTAATTTTTTGTGTTTTTAGTAGAGACGGGGTTTCACCATGTTGACCAGGATGGTCTCGATCTGTTGACCTTGTGATCCACCTGCCTCGGCGTCCCAAAGTGCTGGGATTACAGGCTTGAGCCACCGCGCCCGGCTATATTTTACTTTTGAATATCAATCTTGAATATGCAACCTTGCCAGACTCATTTATTAGATTTTATGTTTGTTTTTGTGAATTTTTCAGGATTTTCTGTAAACAAGGCCTTGTCATCTGCAAAATCAGCTGAGCGTGATGGCAGGCTATGAACAGATAGTTTGATTTCTTTCTTTTCAATCTGGGTGATTTTTCTTTACCTCATGACTGACGTCCAATACAATATTGAATAGAAGAGGTGAGAGCAGTCTTATCTTATTCCTGAACTTTGAGGAACAGTTTTTTGTCATTCACCATTAATTCTGATGCCCTTGATCAGGTTGAGGAAACTGTTTCTACTCTTAGTTGTTGAATATTTTTATCATTAAAAGATGTTGGATAAATGTTTTTACATTGTTTTATTAAAATTTAACCTCAGATTATTGATATTATAGATGAATAATTATTTTCAACAATTTTGAGCACATACAACAGTACCTAAAAAGCTTTTTTAGTCAAATTGTATTTGATAGATTATTCTAATTTTAATGATTAGAAAGACTATTTTTTTTAACCTTTCACACTTTTCCCCTTCCCTCCCCCCTGCTTTTTTTTTTAATAGGAGTAACTTTATATATGGCTCATATTTGAGTAAAGAAGAAATTGCTTTCTCAGATCCCACTCCTGATGGAAAACTGTTTGCAACACAGTACTGTGGCACTGGTCAGTTTCTGGTATATAATTTTATTAATGGACAGAATAGCACGTAAAACAAATTCTTGCCTACACCACTAGAGGACATTTATTGAAGAGAATGGATTGGTTGCTGACTTTAACCAGGAACTAGGGCCATTTTTATTACAATGAACCTCAGGACTGGCAACAACCATATGGTTGTTCCATTTTCATAAAATTGGAAACAATGCAGTAATAGCTTATTGTTTTGTTTTTTAAAGAAGATATTTTATTATCTTTTACAGAAATTTATGATTGATGTATTTTATCTATAGTTATTTAGACATGTTTACATGCAGCAGATAATTGTTCATAGTGGACTGAAAACTAATGCAAGGACTATGGTCTCAGTGATAAGTATATTTTGAAGTTCTTAATATGGAAATATACCAGTGTAGCTTGGTACTGTATTTTTTTATATTGATCTGCTGATACCAGTTATAGGTTTAAAGATTGTATTTTTACAGAGTGGAAACCAGTTTTTTTGTTGTTGTTGCCCAGGCTGGAGTGCTATGGCATGATCTTGGCTCACTGCAACCTCCACCACCCGGGTTCAAGCGATTCTTGTGCCTCAGCCTCCCAAGTAGCTAGGATTACAGGTGCCTGCCACCACACTAGGCTAATTTTTGTATTTTAGTAGAGATAGGGTTTCACCGTGTTGGCCAGGCTGGTCTCAAACTCCTGACCTTAGGTGATCCACCCGCCTTTGCCTCCCAGAGCGTTGGGATTACAGGCATGAGCCACCATGACTGGCCAGAAACCAATTTTTTTTAGTTATTTTTGAAGTAGGGTGCAATATTAAGTGTTTTGGAATTTGAAGCTAAGTTTGAAAAGGCCTGAACTATACCCCTATAGAAAAGGAAAGCTCCAGGTAAACAGGAAGATTTGGAATATTGAGCATTTTTTCCTGATTTTGCTTTTTCCTATCTTTGATAGCAGGAAATAGAAAGTGGTAAAGAATTGAGGCTTTTCTTCTTAAAGAGCTGTAAATGACAAGCATTAGGAAAGGTACTCTCTAGATTCATTATTCTTTCATTCTGGTTTCACTTTTTAAAATAAATGGCAACTTGGCACACCTAGGCTGTTAACAAATCTCAAAGAGGTTTATAAAAACCTATAAAATACTTGGAAGTGAGGTATGGATGACTTGGTATCTGCTTTGTTATTCCTCAGAAATACTGCACTGAGTATATGCCCTCATTACTGGACTTCATTTTGATACTTGTCTATCCTTCATAGTGCCCTCTACTTTTAAAGGGTTTATATGTTGAAAACTGCTGTGGCCTTTTATGACCTGTATATAATGTAGAATAAAAATAATAAAATACTTGATAGCTTTTTCTAAGTGATCAATGTACTAACTGAGATAATGGTGTGTTGTCTATTTGTGCTTTTTCAGGGTGTTTTTTTCATTTCATACCCTGAAATATGATTAAAAGATTGGCTTCCTAAAGGTAGTTTCCACCAGTTTGCCAAAGGATCATTATTTCACCAGCGAATCAGCTGAACTTTTCCAAAAGGCAAAATCCTTTCTGATTATTTTAGTAACATGGTACTTTTATGGTGTTTCAAATAAATGAAGGGCCCACAACACCCAAGAATGAATTCACCACTATGGTTCAACTAGGTTATTTTTATAAGCTGAAATAAATGATCATATCTCAGTTGAAAACTGGCTTATTTAGGGCCTTAAATTAATAATCAGGTATACATGTTATTTCCCTATAAATTTGTGCTTTTAAAATTTCCACAGTGGTGTAAGACTCTATAATCTGTATGGGTAGAATGATAGGGCAGGGTAAATATTTCCTTCTGATTCTTCATGCTCTAGATTTTGTTTTGTTTCGTTTTTGTGTGTTTTTTGAGATGGAGTCTTGCTCTGTTTCCCAGGCTAGAGTGCAGTGGTGTGGTCTTGGCTCACAGCAACCTCCGCCTCCTGGTTCAAGCAATTTCCTGCCTTAGCCTCCTGAGTAGCTGGAATTACAGGTGTGCACCACCGTGTCCGGCTAATTTTTGCATTTTTAGTAGAGATGGGGTTTCACCATGTTGGTCAGGCTGGTCTTGAACTCCTGACTTGTCATCCACCCGCCTCGGCCTCCCAAAGTGCTAGGATTACAGGCATGAGCCACGGTGCTGGGCCTGTTTTTTTTTTTTTTTTTTTCCTTTTTAGGACACAGAGTCTCATGCTGTCACCCAGGCTAGAGTGCAATGGTGTGATCTTGGCTCACTGCAACCTCTGCCTCCTGGGTTCAAGTGATTCTCCTGCCTCAGTAGCTGGGATTACAGGTGCCTGCCACTATGGCTGGCTAATTTGTTTTTTTGAGACAGAGTCTTGTTCTGTCACCCAGGCTGGAGTGCAGTGGTGCAATCTTGGCTCACTGCAACCTCCGCCTAATGGTTCAAGACAATTCTTTTGCCTCAGCCTCCCGAGTAGCTGGGCTACAGGTGCGTGCCACCACCCTGGCTGATTTTTGTATTTTTAGTAGAGATGGGGTTTCACCATGTTGGTCAGGCTGGTCTTGAACTCCTGACCGCAGGTGATCCACCCACCTCGGCCTCCCAAAGTGCTGGGATTACAGGTGTGAGCCATTGTGCCCAGCCCTAGCTTTTGATACTGCCATTTCCCTTTGGGCTTGAGACTCTTCTGGTTATCCCTGGTCTCATTGTTTCCTGATAGATACCATGTTTTTTTAAAAAAACAATTAAATTTTGGTATATAGTGTAAAGTCTGTAGTAACTGTTAACCTCATAATATGGGTCCAATTTCCATAAACAATAGTATACTACTTTGACTACTTTTGACTTGGTACAAGGCTATCTGGAGGTGAAAGAGAGTAGTATATTGGGTGGTTGGTTCAAATTTTATTACTGAGAAAACAGTTTATTTTCATGTTTATGCTGAAGATACAGCCTCCCAAATTTTACATTTAGGTATTTCTCTAAGAATAGTATTATTAGTTAATACCTAACATTTGAGTATTTGCTATGTGTCAGACCCTGTGTGTTTAGTGCTGCATTGTTTTATGTGATCATTATGACAGTCCTATGAGGTGGGGTTTATAAGTGAGGAATCTGGAACTTAGAAGATAGTTAAGAGCAGTTTGTGTGAAAAGTGTTTAAACATTGAACTAAAGCTGTGATGTGGAGTTGAAGACCAGACAGGTACACATTTAAAAGATAAAATTGAAGAATTTACACAGTTGAATTGATAGGAATTTATAACAACCAGAAAAAGATCATGGCAAAGAGGCTAAGGTAAGTGGGAATTTTGGTTTGGGTAATTGAGTTAGATTGACAGATGGGAATACAGGGGAATTAGGTTGGGAGGATTGAATGGGGATGCCCTCAGATTTGGTCACGATTTTAAGGTGGTTGTAGAATCTCCAAGTGGATAGGTATGTTTGGTATACAATTGGATATGTAGATCAAGAGTTTGAGAGAGATTCTAACTGAGCAAACAAATTGAGTTTACTTATTTATTTGAAGGTTTAGAGGGTCACCCTGGGGTTTGTAAAATGAGAAGGTAGAAGAGATTTTTGAGGTACACCATCATTGAGGAGTCTCAAAGAAGAATACCTAAGAAGGCATGAGCAAGGTAGGAGAGCCAGAAGAGAGAGGTAGAAACCAAGGGAAGAATTTCAAGATTCAAAGAATGGTCAACCCTGTCATATCACAATTGAAGACTGAAGAGAGCCCAAGTGATGTTAGGAAAAGAGCAATCTCAGTGGAGTGGTGGAGGCAGCAGGGACACAGTGAGTATACACTAATGGCCACAGATGGCAGAAGAGGGTGAGTCTGTAATTGCTGACTTATATGAAGGTGCTGATAAATTTTTTGTTAGCAGTCCTCATAGTTGTTGGTCTTTATAAAAATGCCAAGCGTAGAGGCACTATAGGAGTCACAAATACAGTCAGGAACTACAAGATTTTATGGATAATGCCTTTATCTGCATGGACACTGATAAAAAGCAATATTTTACTACATAATATGTGAGAACTTGGTATATCTACCAAAAGCCTGACTGTTAAAAGGACAGTGAGTACAACAAACCTGCAGTGATATTTTAATTGTTCTCATTTACTTTGCATGGCTGCCCAGCTATAGAGTCTTATCCCTCTGGATAGGAACACAGCTGTATTCCTGCCCATCCACATTGTGGCTAGGGTTGAGATTGCTGAGTTGATTTCTGGGGTAGTAACTGTAGACACACATTTTATTTTTCATGGCTTTTGAGCCTTCTGGCAGAAAAAGGGATGAGTTCTGTCTTTTAGCAACCCCCCAACCCCACCAGCCTTCTGGTAAAAATAAAATACATTGGACTAGTAAAAATAACATATTTGGAATGAAGTGGTTAGAAAACAACTTACTGCTGTTGCTTTTTTTTTCCTTTTAACTTAATATCATCTATTGTCATAGTCACTGAAGTAGATGCTTTAACCCAATACTTGATAGTTGAGAGCACAGTGAATGAATGACTTTTTCTTTGGCCTTAGAGGCAATTTCTAAAATCATCTTTAGCAGTGTTTTTTTGTTGTTGTTCTTTTTTTTTTTTCAGTGAAGCCAAGGTTTCAGTGTTAGAGCAGTATTCTCCTAAACCCAGAGGAAGCTTTAAGGACCAGTTTCCAGTTTCTGTGTCTAAAGAGAAGCTTGAGGAATATTTGTTCCTGGATGTTGTTCCAGGCCTAAGTAGTTTAATGTGATGTTGCAGCAGTCAGAGTTTCAGTGTTTTCAAGGCAGCTGCTTTGGAATGCGTAGTGGAGCACTAGTAGTCTTTTGTTTTCCTCTGAAAGTCTGTCATTACACTTACAAATACTGCCCTTCCTGAGGGCCCTTTGACCTAGAACATTGTTTTCATGGATTCTATGTCAAATTCTTTTAATTTACTACACTTTATTAATATATTGAAAGCCATTTTTCTGGACAGCAAAGTTATTCTCAAAAGTTCATCAAACTTTTAAGAAGATATAGTTCATACTACAATAACACTGTCTTCATATACATAGTTCTAGCAGCTTTTGAGAAGTTCTCAAAAAGTTTGAGCATTTTAAACTAGAGGAGATTAACAATAACACCTTGTATCATACCACTCTAGCAACCCAAAGTTTGGTTTCCAAAAGGACATCAAAGTGAGAGTATAACTGCAATCTGTCAAATAAAAGATTGGGATCTACTGTGTGTATTTTCAACATCTTTTCTTAGGTCCTAAAAAGGCTGGAAGTCACATTATAGGTTGGATATTGCCAGAGTCAGGGAGCTTGTTTTCTTAACATGCCAGAAAATTAAAAAATAATTTTTCAGAGGGGGTGGGAGATAACTTTAATACATTCACCAAATTAAAGGACAGAAACATACAGTAGACACAACTTAAGACAATTTTGAATCATTAACAAAATGTGAGGTAGACTGACTAGTGAAATTCACCAAATTTTAAGAAAATTTTATAGTAATAAAGTAACACAGGTGTCCCCTTTTCTAAAAATCACAAAAAGCAATTGCATAAATTACAGCCAAAAAAAATTGACTACAACAATTCTAGTTTTTAGTTTACATTCAGTATTAACCTGTGTGAACTGTCATACATGCTGAGGTTCAACCGGTCTATAGGTGAGTTACTGTGTGGGCCTAGTGAATCCATTCATCCCACATCAGTGTCCTAAGGGCTTGCAAAGCTTAAAGCTGAACACATTAGGATATATACACACACACATATCATGGTGTCCTGTGCTTGTGCAACTTTATCCTTAAAGAAGGACCTAACATTCTCTGAAGAATTGTACTGGTGAGATTTTAAAAGATCCAAACCTTAGTAAGATAGGCTTTGAAAAGAATAGCTCAATTTCTCTATTATAGGGGTGATGGTCTTTTGGCTTTGTTCTGGCATCTCTCTTCCACAGAGTTAAATAATATTTAAGAGCTCATAATAATTTGAATTTTCAGAGTGCAGCCCTAACTAATGGAGTAACTGCATCTGATGTAACTACTTAAAAAAAAATTCTTTATAGACTATGAAGTCATAAAGCCAAAAGAAACCTTGAGAGGCCATCTACCCCAGGTACAATTGTTTTAGAATTATTTCAAGTATTTTATTTTGCCCTATGTAGTTGTTAATGTTATTGGAATATTGCACAGACAGTGGGTTTCTTGATATTTGCATTAGGCCCTTTCAACAAAACAGGAACAAGTGAAATACATTCATATTTAAACCAAACTGCTTCAAAACATACCTCTTTACCAAAAATTCCACTGTACTAAAATTAAGGAGTATTTTTTAAAGCATATATAAGGCAGGTCCTCTTTAAAGGACAATTAAAAATGCGGTTAAAAGGAATTGTTGGCTTCAAAATATAGTTAAAGCATAAGTAGCTATATTAAAACCAAGAGATCTACAAACCATTTTTAGTCTAATACATTCCATTTTTTCGCTAGCTGTAAACTCCTTGTTATAATAAAGCTGGTCAATTAACATTTTTTGTTCTAAGTAAATGCAGGCTTAGTAGGCCCCTCAGTAGTTTCAGGTTACAAACAAGATGTATTCAAGTAAAAATGACCATTTTAAGTGGGATAAAATAGTAAATATGGGCTGAGAAAACTCAAGAGATTGTTCAAGGATGAGAACTGGAATAATTTAAGAGTAAACTTCTAAGAGTTTGTCTAGAACATTTTCTAAAAATAATTTTTGATTAAAATATTAGAGAAATCTGTAGAAACATGCCTTCCACTGCTGATACTAGACAAACACCCCCTGCTGATTTTAATGAGTCAAAAAGACTCTTAATGGAGTCTTTCTTACTCCTTACAGGAGTCACTGGTAGGATTAAGTAAAACACCTCTTTCTATGGCTCAGTTTTCCAATTCAGCAATTTCTGTGGTGTTGTCAGTGTAAGGTGGTAATATTCAGTGCATCTTTTAAAGGAAGCTTTGCTTGAATCCCTGAAAGGAAGGAAACTAGTTCCACTCTGCAACAGAACCTCAGCCTGACATTTAGGTTTGCTGGTGCCAACTGCTTAATTCCAACAAAACAGGGTGGGTGCAGGTTACCTGCTGAAAACTTCTTAACTCACTCAACTGACTTTATCAGGTTCTTTTGCACAAGATTAATCGCTGTTCCATTGTCTCTTAAGTAAGATATTCTTAAAGCCTGGAAACAAGTTTAAAGAATGGGAAAAGCAAAGGAATTAGGCTAGAAGAAGATGCATAAATGCACACAATGCCTGCTCTGCATTTACTGATTTCTTTGTTCAGTTTAAATAGTAAACTTTGAACTCCTGTGGAAATTTTGCCAAAAGTTTCAATACATAGAAGATTATAAATCTTAAACTAACACTACACAGAGAAAGACATAGCTACTGCTTTTTTTAAATACAAATATCATCTACATTCTATCATTTCAAACCCCTGAGTAATACTGTACCAAAGTACAGATCTGAAGAGAAACTGAGGGTTCAGGCCTCAAACGTTAATCTTCAATTAATTCCACACCAATGGCATGAGTCTCCCATAACACATTCAGGCTAGTTAATGCTGACAGTTTCCCCCAACATAATGTAATAGAAAAAATAATGCAGACTCCACATTCACTCTCCAAAGTATGTCCTCCTCAGGATCCCATGGGCAGACCGTATCTTCAGTAATTGCATAACTGCCTAGGGGAGTTTACCTGAATTTAAGGGTCCAATTAAGAGTGGTATCCCCAAAGACCTGGGTCAGATTTGGGGAGTTCTTTGGAGAATTTAGACAAATATGTTGCACTTTGCTCCACAGTGATTGTACTTTAAAGGAAAAAAAAAATTCCCAAATTGTTTCTGTCCCACCCCACCTAGGCATCGTTTTGCTGTTTTTGGTCTCTTCAAAAGCTCATACATGACGTCCGGTAAGAAAGTAGAGAGGCTTGTCATCACTGCTATTAGCAGTTTGAAACTCATCCCGGAGGCGGAACTGCCACTCATCTTCTAGCTCTAAGCGGACAATTGTTTGGCGCAAGGAACTTCTGTCTTGGCAGATAACACACAGGGTAGCACCTTCAGAAAACAAGACAGAAATATGTCTTAGGCTCAGGGATTGAGAACTAACTATACTGTCTCTGATTACATTTCCTGAGCTAAGACATCTGAGAACGAACAGGTAGGTCAACAGATGGATAAGTAATTTATGAGAATTGTTTAATTTTATTATTTAAGTAAGTAGTTTTACAAATTCAGTAATTTTTTAAAGAGTACAAAGTAAGTAATCTTCCAGCTACATTCCCTCTTCCCTGCGATAATGTATTTCTCATGTGTTCCTCCTAGGTTAGGGTTTCTGAACCTCAGCAGTAGTGTACTTGGATAATTCTTTATTGTGGGGCTGTTCTGTGTCTTTTTTTTTTTAAGAGACAGTCTCGCTCTGTCGCCCAGGCTGGAGTGCAGTGGCACAATCTCGGCTCATTGCAACCTCCGCCTCCAGGCTTCAAGCAATTCTCCTGCCTCAGCCTCCCAAGTAGCTGGGAGTACAGGCACACACTGCCATGCCCGGCTAATTTTTTGTATTTTAGAAGAGACAGGGTTTCACCGTGTTTCCCAGGCTGGTCTCGAACTCCTGAGCTCAGGCAATCCACCTGCCTGAGCCTTCCAAAGTGCTGGGATTAAAGGCATGAGCCACAGCAGCTGACCTTGTTATCTTGTTGGATGTTTAGAACCTAAACATCCAGCAGCCTTGGCTTCTGCCCACTATGTGCCAGCAAGCAGCAGCCCCATTATGACAATCAGAAGTGTCTCTGGCCCCCAGCAGGCAAAATCTACCCCTTCCCCACTCCCAATAAGAAGCACTGTGTCAGAAATACTTAATACATAAATAAATCCACAGTCCCCCTACATCTCCGCTCCCTGTTCTCATGCTGTAGTGTTCTGAACCTCACTTTCTTTGCTGATCTCAAAGGTCATTTTATCAGGATTTGTGATGTTTAATATTAGTTTGTTCTTAGGCTAGTCTCTTTATATTGTGCATACCTATTGAAACAACTTTTTTCTTTTCTTTTTTGAGACAGGATGTCACCCAGTCTGGAGTGCAGTGGCACAATTATGGCTCACTGCAACCTCCACCTCCTAAGCCCAAGTTCCTCCCACCTAAGCCTCCTGACGTGGCACTACAGGCGTGTTCCACTGTGCCTGGCTAATTTTTGTATTTTTTGTAAAGGCAGGGTTTTGCCAGGTTGCCCTGGCTGGTTTTGAACTCCTGAGCTTGAGCTCAGATGATCTGCCTGCCTCAGCCTCAGCCTCCCAAAGTGCTGGGATTACAGGTGTGAGCCACCACACCTGGCCTATGGTTTTTGTATCAGAATCACAACTAAGGGTTTGTTTATGTCTAGGGATGCAATTATACACAATTATTGCAGTTGCTTCCTGCCCCAGGCAATATGTTATCAGTAGAATGTATATAATTATATACATATATAGACTCATTAACCTGATATCTATTAAAATTAAATTATATGAGAAGTGTTATGTATTCTTGCAGTGTATCATTCCTTTCTAAATAGTGGCAAAAACCTATTTAATATGGTCACGAATTTGGCTATTCATCTGCATTTAGTCTTAGGATAACAATGACTTCATTCCCTTCCCAACCCCCAACTAGTGGCCCTAATTTTAAAAGCAGGATGTTCAAATTATTGGTAAAAATCGTGTTCAAGTGCTTTTAAAAAATATCTTTATCTTCTGAATTTGGCTCAGTGGGAACCAATAGCAGTTGCAAGATACTAAATTTGACTTACCTTTTAGAAATTTAAAGTTCTTAAGAAGATCAGCACCTACAAAAGAGTCACAGAGGTACAAAAGGAGTCCACTGAAAAACACCCCTTCACAATTGACATTGCTGGAGTGGGGTCTGGAGCTGATGTAGCATATGGCCACCTGAAATCATCAAGCAGAAATAGTGTGGGCATTTCAAGACCAAGCAAAATATCTGCAGTTCAGCAGAATGAGTCAGTACTTTTCTTTTTGTCTATTCAAGGGTAAGGTAAAGAAGATGAGTTTTTTCCAATGTTAACCTAAATGGCTTGGTTAGTTAAGCTTTGCAACCTCTTTTATTTAGCGTGCCAATTGTTAACCTGTTTAAAGATTATCTTATTTCTCATAATAAAGGACTATTAGGAAATAAATTGGAAACAAGCTCTTCAATTTAAGAGAGTCTATAAAATTTTTAAAACTACCTTCCACAGAAAGCACACATCTTTCCTAAGATTAAATGTTTGAATTACCTTATTGGTGAGAATAAAAAAATATTTTTGATCAGCTTTCCATTTAGATATACTTAAATTTTCAATTGGATGGAAGCTAAGACGGTACATGGGCTGGGCACAGTGGCTCACACCTGCAATACCAGCACTTTGGGAGGCTGAGGTGAGTGGATCACCTGAGGGTCAGGAGTTGGGAGACCAGCCTGGCTTACATGGAGAAACCCTGTCTACTAAAAATACAAAAAAAATTAGCCAGGCATGGTGGCAAGTGCTTATACTCCCAGCTACTCAGGAGGCTGAGGCAGGAGAATCGCTTGAACCCAGGAGGCAGAGGTTACAGTGAGCCAAGATTGCACTACTGCACTCCAGCCAGGACGACGAGTGAACTCCGTCTCAAAAAAAAAAAGTGCATGAATTTAAATTTTTGGTTCTATCTGGCTTCTGTGATGAACAGATGATAACTACAGAAATTCAAGGATGTAAGTAAGATAGTTGGGAGTTAAAACAGCAGAATGACTAAATGCATGAGCCAATCTGCTTGGGTTCAAATACGAGTAGCCATCGAACAATGAGCAGTTTCCTTCCTTTTACTATATCTCAGTTTCCTTAACAATAGTACTTGTTTCATAGGATGTTTTCTGAATTAAATAACTTAGTATTCGGTAAATGTTAGCTGCTATTAGTAGTAGTATTGAGATTGTGTTCATACCCAGAACCCTGGACTCTAGGATAGAGGAACTGGAATATCTGGGTCAGACATAATCAGTACATAAATATTGTAAAAGATGTTATTAGATCTCACGGGTTTGGGTTCGTTTTGTTTTTTTGAGATGGGGTCTCTGTCACTTAGGCTGGGGTGCAGTGGCACAAATCATAGCTCACTGCGACCTTGAACTCCTGGGCTCAAGTTATCTTCCCACCTCAGCCTTTTGAGTAGCTGGGACTACAGGCATGTGCCATCACACCTGGCCAGTTGTTTTAGTTTTTGTAGGGACAAGGTCCATGTCCTCCAGGCTGGTCTCAAACGCCTGGCCTCAAGTGATCCTCGCACCTCAGCCTCCCAAAGTGCTGGGTTATAGGCGTGAGCATCTATGCCTGGCCTTTACATCTGATGGTTTCTTAAGGTTCCTTCTACTTCTAAAATTCTATAATTTATTACCCAATCTACAGTGTAGATTATTGAAACATAAAAATGGGAATGTAAAATGTTTACACTGAAATTTTAAAAATTGGTTTTCAAAATTGAATACAGTTGGACTTGTGTTGAGTATGTTTATGGATGTGTTTTTTTTTTTCAATACATACAAAGAAAAGGCCCTGGAAGGAAACAGTATACCAAAATGTTCTTCTGGCAGGTGACTGAACTTTATGCTTTTATTTTAAAACATGTTTTATAAGGAGGATGTACTACAGTAATCATTTCTAAAGGATAGCTTAGTAGCAGAAGCCTGGAGGTGCAAGTGGCAGTTTTTTTAAAAAACTAAAACATGAAGAATTTTAGAAAAAGAAATGAGACCTCTAAAGGCTTCAGGTGGTACACATTTATTGGTTCAGTAATCACTGAGCTCCTTATATATGTATAAAACAATGGCTAAGACATTGTGTGTCTTTGAAAAACTCACACTTTTATGTAGAAAATCCCACAAAATTAATTACAGTATAATCTGATGAATGTTAAGAGAGGTGGGAGCAAGCAACTGCTGCCCAAAGTCACTGAGGCAGGCTTCTCAGAGGTGCTGACATCTGAGCTGAGTTGTATATTCCCTGGCTCATTTGTACAGTTAAAATAGGCATGGGGAGGGTTAATTGCATGTTGTGTGAGCCTTTACATAAGTGAGTATGCGAAGGGTAGAAATACAGGTTTTGATCTGTATTATCTTTAATAAAAGTTCTGGCAAAGGACCAGACTGGCATCTTGATTTATATTTCTCTCTTGTCATAGACTCCTATTTTGCCTCCATTTCAGTTTTCAAACAGCTAAAATGAGAAAGGGATGGACGTAGTAAGCACAGTATCCCCCACACCCTTTTTACCTCTGGTCCAATGTTAAGGTAGCAGTCAATGGCCAGCACGGGACTCTTGAAGTTACGGATGGCTTTGGGGAAGAGTTTATATGAGGCGTGCTGAAGGAATTTCTCCAGGAGAAACTGTGCAGGGGCTGCCAGTAGCGTGTGTTCACTGTCAGGAGCGCAGATGTATTGAAGGGGCAAGATGGGTGCTAAGTTCTCTGACACCTGAAATCAGAGTCAACATCATGATGGGAAATTTGTCTGTCCCTGGATTAAACAGGTGAGGAAACACTGAATTGTATCCTAACAATCAAATAATAACATAACAGAGTGAGGGGTGCTAGCTTCTATGTCAGTCAGGGGTCCTGAATATTTTTTTCTCTGGGGAATAGTACAATAGGATTTAATGCAAGTTACACACAGCAAGGGCAGAAGAGAACAGGCTTCTCTGAAAGTTACCACATTTAACAGGTACACTGTGAGATCTAATCAGAAGCGTTTTACAGTGGTGCTCGGTGTGTATGTATCTATGTATGGGTTAAATCCTATCTATCTCATCACAACCCCACCAAAAAAATGGCAAGGAGGTTTCTAAGCTCCACTGGTAGCCCACACTGGTATCAGTAAATGTCTTAGAAAGGGGTAGTAATACAGGTTTTGATCTGTATTTTTTTTTTTTTAGACAGAATCTCGCTGTGTTGCACAGGCCTGGAGTGCAGTGGCGCGATCTTGGCTCACTGCAGCTTCTGCCTCCCAGGATCAAGTGATTCTCCTGTATCAGCCTCCCAAAGAGCTGGAACTACAGGCACGTGCCACCATGCCCAGCTAGTTTTTGTATTTTTAGTAGAGATGGGGTTTTACCATGTTGGCCAGGATGGTCTTGATCTCTTGACCTCGTGATCTGCCTACCTCAGCCTCCCAAAGTGCTGGGATTACAGACGTGAGCCACCGCACCCAGCCATATTACTGTATTTTAGGAAAGTTCTAGCAAAGGATCAGGCTGGCATCTTGATTTACATTTCTCTCATGTATTACATAAAGAATGTAAAAATGTGGCAGGGCACAGTGGTTGAGGCAGGAGAATCACTTGAACCTGGGAGGCATAGGTTGCAGCAAGCCAATCATGCCACTGCAATCCAGCCTGGGCGACACAGTGAGACTCCGTCTCAAAAAAAAAGTAAAAATATAAAGTTTGCCATCTTGAAACTGAAGTTTTGATGGATTTGTTAAGGCTTAAATCCAAATAAACTTAAGATTTAAGACTGACATCTAAAGTAATTTTGTTAGATTGTCAAAACAAATGTTTTGGCTCTGGATGAGTCTCAGTAACAGAAATGAGATTGAGAATTTGACATTAAGAACTCCCTTATAGCCAGGCACAGTAGCTCACGTCTGTAATCCCAGCACTTTGGGAGGCCAAGGTGGGCAGATCACTTGAGGTCAGGAGATCAAAACCAGCCTGGCCAACATGGTGAAACCCCATCTCTACTAAAAATACAAAAATCAGTCAGCTGTGGTGGCACACGCCTGTAATCCCAGCTACTCAGGAGGCCGAGGCATGAGAATTGCTTGAACCCAGGAGGCAGAGGGTGCAGTGAATGAAGATCACGCCACTGCACTCGAGCCTGGGTGACAGAGTGAGACTGTCTCAAAAAAGAGAACTCCCTTGTCTTATTTCACTTTTCCAATAAAATGGAAAGTGCTTAATGCCCGTATCTAATAACAAAGATATTACTAAGATATCATTGTACTTATTTTCAGCATTAGAATCAAGCTTGCAGTACTTACCATGATCTTTGGTTTAATGATAAAGTCCCTTTGCCCGCCAACCTGAACATGTTTCTTCATGAGACTGAAGTTATTAAAGCGGCAGATGAGCAGGCCACTACTGTTGGTTCTCAGATTAAAGTCAACATCTTCACAGAAATACCTAAATTGTAACCATAACAATAGGTTTCTTCAGCTGGCATATCTCAACCATGATAACTACACACAGAGAGATAAATGTGTAGCAAGATATTAGGAGCCTAAAAAACTATGCTTTTGTGGAGCTGGCCCTCAGCATTCTGAGTCAAGTGTATGTTGAAGAGAATGAAATCATGTACATGGCATCTAGAGAATGGGGCCTTTAGGCTCTGAGAACTCAGCTTGCTGCTTCATTTCTGTATGGCCTTGAAAAACTCAGCCTTTCTCAGAAGGGAAGTGAAATGATCTTTGTCCTAGATATGTCACAGGGTTGAGGTATCCCTATGCAAAAACTATATTCCTATTTGATACACTGTGACAGAACAGAAATATAGAGGTGCTCCCAGTTTTAAAATTCTGGCTACAAACAGTATGAAGCCTCTGTCAAATTTAAAACAGAAGTGAAAGCAGCAGCTATTCTGTAACCGCAAGATTGGCATAAGAAGGACTTTATGGTCCCTGCCTTCTTGCTTGACCCTCTCAGGTTTTGTAGGAACCTGGACATTATTTGGGAGGCAAGGCCATGGTTAGCCTGCTCATACTCATCTGCTGCCTTTTTCCTACAGGACCCAAATCCCTGGGTCCTACTAACTACTAACATTCAGGAAAAGTGATTTCCTTCTGAGTTTTGAGGGTGAAGGTGGGCTTAGTCTTAGATGTTTATGGGTCCACATACTAACTTGAGTCAACAGTTACTGTGTCTGTCTTAGTTCTTGTTGAATAATGAGATGGCTAAAGTGTTTTCTTCGAGTATTTCATACTGTAACCCCTGTTAAGGTCTAGGTCAGTTGGTGATAAAGGGGCACACATTGGGGCTTGTGATCACCCTTTCTCCTTGCCCACATAAAGAGTAAGCTTCTCAATTGAATACACAGGAATAAAAGCATTACAGAGGCTAGAGCTAAGCAGAAGCAATCAGTAGATGCCAGGATTACCTGCATCCATGAGGCCTGACTTACCTGTTGAAGTCATACTGTACATTCTGAGTCAAGTCTATGTTGAGGAGAAGGAAATCATGCACATGGCACCTAGAGAACGGGGCCTTTAGGCTCTGAGAAGTCAGCTTGCTGTTCCATTTCTGTATGCCCAAGATTGCGTAGTGGACAATTTTTGGTGTGGCTTCAATGTGCTGCAAGACAGTCTTCAAGGACACATTCTTACTGGAAACTCCTACTTCCATGGGCTGGCTATGAAATATAGTTTATATAAGATGTCAATAAATATTACAGAAGAGAGGATCATTTGTGAAGTGTCTACACACTATTATACACCAGTAATACTCTCAAGGATATAATTAACTGATTTACTTTGTATTAGCAAATGGAGAAGAATGTCAAGCCCAGTTTTTTCCTGTTATTATTAAAGAAACTGCCTTCTGGGGCTGGGGCTTACCATTTTAGGGCAGAGAAGGAAATCCAGCCCCTGTGTCAGAGTGTACAATGAATAAAGAGTTGCCGAAGAAGAGGTAGCCAGAGGTTGGAAGCATAGGATTATCCTTCCCAGTTCTGGTAATTGTATATAATAAGAAATATTTTATAAGAGTCAGGAATACTTGACAGAATCTCGCTCTGTCACCCAGGTTTAAGTGCAGTGGCGCAATCTCAGCTCATTGCAACCTCTGCCTCTTGGGTTCAAGTTATTCCTGTGCCTCAGGGCTACAGGCATGTGCCACCATACCCAGCTTGTTTTTTTTTTTTTTCACTCCCAAAATTGCATTAAGCTAATTTTTGTATTTTTAGTAGGGATGGGGTTTTGCCATATTGGCCAGGCTGGTCTAGAACTCCCGGCCTTAAAACGATCAGCCTGCCTCGGCCTCTCAAAAGTGCTGGAATTATAGGCATGAGCCACCGTGCTTGGCTTCAGTAGACTTTAATAGCTAACCAATGCCATGATCCCAGAATGGTCCAGGAATTTAATGGGCTATTGAATGTCTACGTAAAAAAATTCCTAAGTCACCACAAAATGTTCTATTGAGAGTGGTTTCATGGTTGACTGTTTTGCTCTGGAAAACTCTCTCTCTCTTATTTCCACATGTAACTGTAACCAAGAAATGTATTGTCCTGCCTATATATAGCATTGTCATGCCCCCAGAACAGCTTGTAAGTATCACTACCTGGATGGCTCCTGAACACTGTGAATGTTCCATAGGACACACGAATCATCCATCATGACAATGAATGGCCAGACACACTGGCGTTTAATGCCTAGCTCCTCCAGGCGGTTTCTCTCCAATTCTAGGTTGTGATATGATAGCTCCTTAATAAGGAACCTGGCAGCACCTGGAAGGCAACATAACCACATCTACGTATCCATACATCCTTCACTCAGGCTTGGCTGGGCTTCAGAATTCCTGTTCACATGGCAACCATGCAGGATGGGAGCCAATCAAATGTTCAGAGCATTGGCTCTCAAACCAGTGTATGTAACAGTTACTGGGGAATCACTTTTATGTAGATTCTTAGAGCCCATTACCAGAGCTGTCTTTGAGTCTGGTGGGCCCAAAGCCAGAGATATCTTTGAGGTTACAAATGATATGAACCACACTTGGAGAGTATTGCAAGAATCCAGTTTCCCTCATAGGACAAAGGAATCCACATCTAGGAAATGCTATTACTGTTTACTTCCTTGAAGCATGACAAGAGGCTCTCTCAGACTTGGAAGCAGCCACTCACATGTCCTGTACTAGGTAGTTAACTGGCCTGCAGTGAGTGGGAATGCCAGTTCCACTGATATATCCCCTGCTTTAAATACTTCAAGGAAACAGCAGCATCTTCTCTGAAGAAGACTGGAAACAGGCAGCCTTTTTCTAGATCTGCCTTTTGCAAGAGGCAATATGGTATAGAGATAAAGAGAATAGACAGGAACCCACCTGTCTGATTTTGAATCCTAATTCTACCACTTTCTAGCCATGTGTAATGGAACAGAAGGAATTAATTATGTTTACAAGTCATGGACAGACTCTATATCTTCATTTCCTTATCATTGGGAGTATTCCGAGCTCAGAATTTTCCCAATGCAAAAAAAGGCTCTGAAGAGCCGGACCTGGGAACCTGGCCAGTTCCCTGATCCAATTTTTCGTAAACACCTCAAGGATGTTAGTTACATGATGAAGACATGGACAGTGTCCTGACTTGACCCTTCTTTATTTTAAAAAGTATAAAAGATTGTTTAGCAGAAGCCGAACTGAGCTTCGGTGGTGACTTGGTCTGGACTTGCGAAAACCCGTGCTGCTTTATTGCCGGTGTTGGAAGTTTGTGAGCGTCTCTAGGTATCCTGGTAAATAAACTCTTTCTTTCCTTGTAAATAAACTCTTTCTTTTCTCTATATATCTTGGCTGGTGTTTTTCTTCCCACGAATCTGCCTGAAAAGATTAGAAAATCCAAGCTTGGTACTGAGCAGTGCTCACACCATGCGACCCTGGACAAAGTAAACCCATTGTGCCTTGGCTTTCCCACCTCTAAGAAGACAATAATAATGGCAATCTCATAGGGTTGCCTTATGATGCTCAGGATAGCACCTCACACCCTCTGAGTACTCAGTGAGGTTAGCAATTATCAAGATGATGATAGGAATCAGCCAAATTTTCTAAGTGGGCCATCCTAAAATGAAACAAAATGTAGGTACTAATGAAATGGAATAACCAAAGCAGTGTGAATAGATCAAGGCTAAAACTGGGACATAGGAAAATCTACCTTTCAAGAATGTGTGTCATAGTTTGCACTCTCAATAAGGGCCATAGCTGTGGGCTTTTCTTATAACATCATCATAGTCAATGGTGAAAGACTGAAAGCTTTTCCAAAACTGAGTTCAGGAACAAGACAAAGAAGCCAGTTTTACCATTTCTATTTAATATGGTACTGGAATTCACAGGCAGAGAAATTCAGCAAGTAAAAGAAAAGGTAACCAAATAGGAAGGAATTAAAAATTGATCTCTATTCCCAGGCAACATATACACAGAAAACTAAAAATTCCACCAAAAATCCCCTTTAGAATGAATATGTGAATTCAGCAAACTAAAAATTCCACCAAAAATCCCCTTTAGAATGAATATGTGAATTCAGCAGAGATGCAGGTGCAAAATCAGTTGCATTTGTATACCTCAGCCATGAACAATCTAAGAAAATTAAGAGTTCACTTAAATAGCATCAAAAAGACAGATGTAGGAATAAAGAAGGCAAAAGACTTGTACAGTGAAAAATACAAAGCATTGAAGGAAATTAAGGAAGACACCAGTAAATGGAAAGACATCCTGTGTTTATGGATTGGAAGACTTGATATTAAGTGTCAATACTACCCAAAGTAATCCATAGACTTAATGCAGTCCCTATCAAGATCCCAAGGACTTTGCAGACATAGAAAAATCCATCCTGTGATTCATCCAGTATTTCAGGGGACCCCCAAATAGCCAAAACAATCTTAAAAGAGAGGCAAAGTTGGAGGTCTCATACTTCCCGATTTCAGAACTTACTACAAAGCTATAGTAATCAAAACAGTGTGGACCAGGCACGGTGGCTCACACCTGTAATCCCAGCACTTTGGGAGGCCAAGGTGGGTGGATCACTTGAGGTCAGGAGGTCGAGACCATCCTGGCCAATATGGTGAAACACCATCTCTACTAAAAATAAGATAAAAAAAAAAAAAAACTAGTTGGGCGTGGTGGTGGCACCCGTAATCCCAGCTACTCGGGGCTGAGGCAGGAGAATCACCTGAACCAGGGAGTTGGAGGTTGGAGTGAGCCAAAATCGCCCATTGCATTCCAGCCTGGGCAATGAGTGAAACGCCACCTCAAAAAAGTAAAAATAAACAAAACCCACCAAAAAACAGTGTGGTAGTTTTGATCTGGGCCTATAGAAAGCCCAGAAATAAACCCTCTTATATATGGTCAAATGATTTTTGCCAAGGATGCCAAAGTCATTCAGTGGGTAAAAGATGATCTTGTCAACAAACATGGTTGGAGGCTGGACATGGTGTCTCACACCTGTAATCTCAGCAGGTAGGAGGATCACTTGAGGCCAGCAGTTTGAGAACAGCCTGAGCAACACAGACCGTGTCTCTACAAAAAATTTAAACATTAGCCAGACATAGTGGCACACGCTTTAAGTCCCAGCTACTCAGGAGGCTGAGGTGGGAGGATTGCTTGAGCTCAGAACTCTGAGGCTACAGTGAGCTATGGTCATGCCACTGCACACACAGCCTGGGTGACAGAACAAGATCCTGTCTAAAAAAAAAAAAAAAATGGTTCTGGGAAAACCTTACAGTCACATGGAAAAGAATGAAGACCCTACAAAAAATTAACTCAAAATGGATCAAAGACCTAGACATAAAAGCTAGAAATATAAGTCATTTAAAAGAAAACATAGGGGAAGGCCTTGTGACATTGAATTTGGTCTCTTAGATATGATACCAAAAACAAAAGCTAAGAAAATAGACAAACTAGACTTCATCAAATAACAGAGTAAAAGGCAATCCAGCAATCCATGGAATGAGAGAAAATCGTATTTTTTTGTTTTTTTTTTGAGATGGAGTTTTACTCTTGATGCTTAGGCTGGAGTGCAATGGTACGATTTTGGCTCACCACAACCTCCACCTCCCAGGTTCAAGCAATTCTCCTGCCTCAGCCTCCTGAGTAGCTGGGGTTACAGGCATGTGCCACCATCCCTGGCTAATTCTGTATTTTTAATAGAGACAGGTTTCTCCATATTGGTCAGGCTGGTCTCAAACTCCTGACATCAGGTGTTCTGCCTGCCTTAGCCTCTTAAAATGCTGGGATTATAGGCAAGAACCACCATTGGAAGAAAATCTTTTCAAAGAGTGTATCTGACAAGGGGTTAATACTCAGAATATATATTTTTTTAAACTGCTACAACTCAACAACAACAAAATAATTTAGTCGAAAAATCAACAACTTTAGAGTCAAGTCTTCAAAGAAGATATACAGATGGCTAACACACACACACACAAAATGATGTTCAATATTATTAATCTTTAGGGGAATGCAAATCAAAATCACAATGCAAAACGCACCCCCCCCCCAAAAAAAAAGTGTTGGTGAGGATGTGAAGAAATTGGAATCCCTGTGCACTGTTGGTGAGAAGGTAAAATGCTGCAAGCCACTATGGAAAACTGTATGGTGATTCTTCAGAAAGTTAAAAATGAATTACCATATGATCCGGCAGTCTAACTTCTAGATATATGCCCAGAAGAATTGAAAGAAGAGTCTCAGATATTTGTATACTTGTGTTCATAAAAGCATGATGCACAACAGCCACAAGGTGGGAGCAGCCCAAGTGTCCACTGACAGATGAATGGATGAATTAAATGTAGCAGATACATGAAATGGAATATTATTCAGCCTTTAAGAAGGAAGGGAATTCTAACACATGCTACAACATGGATGAACTCTGAGGACATGCTAAGTGAGATAAGTCAGTCAGTCACAAAAGGACAAATACTGTATCATTCCATTGATATGAGGCACTTAAGAGAAAGGAGAATGGTGGTTGCCAGGTGCTGAGGGGAGGTAGAGAATGAGGAGTTGTTTAATGGGTATAGAGTTTCAGTTTCACAAGGTGAAAGGAGTTCTAGGAATTGGTCTCACAACAATGAGAATGTACTTAACACTTCTGAATTTTTAACACTTTCGAAGTCATTAAGGCAGTAAATTTTTTTTCTTTTGAAACAGAATTTCGCTCTTCTTGCCCAGGCTAGAGTGCAGTAGCGCGATCCTGGCTCACTGCCACCTCCACCTCACGGGTTCAAGTGATTCTCCTGCCTCAGCCTCCAAGTAGCTGGGATTACAGGCGTGCACCACCATGCCCTACTAATTTTTTTTTTAAAGAGAGATGGGGTTTCACCATGTTGGCCAGGCTAGTCTCAAACTCCTGACCTCAGGTAATCCACCTGCCTTGGCCTCCTGAAGTGCTGGGATTACAGGCATAGGCCACTGCACTCAGCCAAGGCAGTAAATTTTATGTTGTGATTTTTACCAAAAATAAAAATAAGTTTGTATATTTCATTTGCATATGTGTGTTGGCTTCTTTCTCCCCAAATTATTGCAAAAATGGCAAAATTGTACTAAACAGTTTGGTCAGATCTAGGATGAGAAAACTTTCTCCTAAGGATTAGTCAGGCACACACAGGGTCACATTCATATAGCAAAAGCCTTCAGTTAGTATGAGTTTAAGTGGTTTTGGGGAGGCTGAAGGAACAGAAATAATACAGAAGCCTTATTAATTCACTTGATACAAAGTGACAAAATTATTCAAAACAAAACCATTTTAAAAAATATTTTAAGCTTGGCTGGGTGCAGTGACTCACACCTCTTATCCCAGCACTTTGGGAGGCTGCGGCAGGCGGGTCAGGAGGTCAGGAGTTTGAGGCCAGCCTGGCCAGCATGGCGAAACCCTGGCTCTACTAAAAATACAAAACTAGCCAGGCCTGGTGGTACACACCTGTAGTCCCAACTACTTGGGAGGCTGAGGCAGGAGAATTCTCTTGAACCCAGGAGGCGGAGGTTGCCATGAGCTGAGATTGTGCCATTGCACTCCAGCCTGGGTGACAGAGCAAGACTCTGTCTCAAAAAAATAAAGTATTTTAAGCCCATATTAAGGCTGTTTGAAGCTGAAGGACATGAAAAGGCATAGAAAGGAACAAGAAATGGAGAGATCTCAGAAGGAAGGGAGAGAGATGAATAGAGAGGAAAAGGAAGAGGCAGAAGCCAAGTGGGGAGACAGTGGAGAAAGGAGAACCTGGAGGGAAGAAACGTAGGTTCAAGAAAACTACTCAGCTCTTATCTGCCCTCCAGTCCAACTCTAGGCTGGGTGTTATTAATTCCCTTTAAAATGGGAACAAGCAGTTCCTGACTTGGCACTGAGGCACCCACAGAAGCAGATGGGCAAAACTGTTTAGAACTACAGCCCAAGAAGTGTCCACAAGAGCACAGCTCTAAATGGATTCAGTTAGAGATTTCCTGCCTGAGAAAGGAAAACTAAGGCTTTCTGACATCTCCAGTCCCCACTGCTCTGTCATAAATACAACAAGCATTGGCCTCTTGAAAAATCTGCACGTCGCTCTTAAAGGGGAAAGCAGGAAAACTTCCTTGAGGCACATGCCTGTGTTATAGGCAGTAATGATGTTTTCAGTTCCCTGGTTGTACAGTAGCCCCCTAGAACTTCCTATGTGCCTTAAAGATAAGATGACCCAGGGGCTCCTCCCAATCTAGGTGAACCACTAACCCTGCCTCACAGTTACATTCCTACTCCAGAGTGCTCAGCCCAGGAACATTTGTAGCCTACACAGGGAAGAATCCCAAATCCCAGGGTGCTCAGTACACCAGTAACCTTCCTTAATTACAAGTCCTCAGAGTTAATTCTGCAAAACTGCAGATAAGGAGAAAAAGAAAACTCAAATTCAAGGAAGAGTGGTGAGGAGGGCAGGACAATTTCCAGAGGCAGGGGACTCTTTGTAAGTTTCATGGAAGGGGAATGGAGCTCAGTTTATCTTTGCAGCCCTTCTCCCCATCCCAAGGGGGCCCCTTACCCACGCCTGCATTATTGAACATGCCGGGAAGCACCAGCATGATGTGGTTGGGCCAGTACTTGCGGTACAGAGGCATCTCATATTCTTTGACCACCAGAAGGTGAAGGTGGTTGATGCCCTCCATGGCATGGAAAAGGTTTAGGAGTCCGTGCTCGTGTCGACCGCTCGAAGGAGTGAAAATAGGGCTCTTGACTACATTCAAATTCTGCCAAAAGAGAAAAACCAGACCACAAAGGGAGATTAAAGCCTCTAGATTGAGGATGCTTAGAGAAATAGGTCTGGGCTATCTGGTAGTCCAGATGCTCTCACCCACCTTGTCTGAAACCAGGGGCAGCCGCATGCTCTCCAGGTGCTTGCCCTGCTTGCTGAAGACAAAATGACTCTCTTTGGATTTCGGAATGATGAAATAGAGCTGAACCTCTTCTCCCAGCATAGAAGAAGAGAATGTGAAGGCATGAAGGGTGGAGTCAGACATCTACATTTGCAAAGAAGAAAGGGAGGAAATGTTAGTAAAGCTCACAGTCTCCAAACTTCCAGGCCACTCTTTCAGGTTCTTATTAAGAGAGGGAAACTAACATGAATTGGTAAATGCCACCAGATCAGGCTGTGAGCAGCAATGTCTAGAGGGTTGGTAAGGCAAACACTTCATCATTTAGGAGCTGCCACTGACAGGAGAGCCTGCCATCTTGCACCTACATAGCCTCAATGGGAGAAGTACTTGTTGCCTGGCACTGTCTGCATTCTTTATGCTCTTAGAGCCACAACCGTTCCATCTTATGCAGAGGTCAGACATACCTGTGGGATGTCCTGTTCTGTATGCATTCCCAAAGGTCTCCTGTTAATCAGGGGGAAACACTTCTGCTCTATGCAGGTCAGGTCAAATGAATATCAGCTTTCTAAATAAAGTATCAGATTTGACATTAAGATGCCTCTCCAGCCCCATCTTTTCTGGCTACAGTGGATGCCGAAGAGGTGCAAACAATCATTTAGTTCAGAACTCTGGTTTCAGAAAGGAGACCATTTGACTCATTAAAGCCAAATATAAATCTAATCTACTTTTAAAGTGCTGTAGAGTTCATGTGCTTTCAGTAACCTATCTCAGTGAATAATTATATAATAGGTCTTTTCATGCTTTAATATGGATAAGATTTGGCTTAATGAAAGGATAACATCAATTTTCATCAGCAACTAGAATCTAAGTAAGTTTCCCAAAGGTTTTAACCAAAATACTGTATTTCATAGAAAAATAATATACTTCTCTCCTTAATTCTAGTTTATTCAGAAATATGGGAATTACTACTTGGTACTGTAATCACACAAACTGTATGAATAGAGAGTTTCGAATATTTTCTAAAAACTTCTAATCTGTAGACCAGGGGACTTAGGTCTTCTATATTCTATAAAGCTTTACAAGCTTATTTCAAAGCAGCCCTCCAAAAGTTTTCAGTAACATCAAGAAAACAAATGGGAAATAAAAGGTAAATTGTATTAGAAGGGCAGAATGATTCAATTTTTTTTTTAAGCATATTCCTTCTAGTACTCATTTGTATTTCAGGATGAGATGTGGGAAAAGGGTTATGACTTGGCCCTGAAGAGCAAAAACAGGTTTAGGCAAGTCAGTATGGCCTACAAGAAGCAGGAGTTGTTTCTGTGTTCACAGCCAAGTCATAAAAATAAAGATGAATTGGGGCAAGTAAGCTCTGGATATTACTATCATTTGTTGCCTTTCCATCTTCTGTGCTTAAAGATGCACTAGAACAAAAGAAGCCACACACTAAGGGGTATTGGCCAATGTTCTGCATTCCTATGTCTCAGTTCTCACTGCATAAAACAAACCGACTCCACTGGCCAAGCCACCCCAAGCAGGTGTGAGAATGTGACTAGGTTGATCAACAGATTTGTTAGAATCACAGCTCAAAGAGCACACCCTGTGGATCTGAGATAATAGTGCCATTTTAGTCAGTGATCCAAAGGGAAGAGGGGGAAACCCTTTTATCAAATATACAGTAATACATGGATTGCAAATAAACATCTCAGGTACTTCCTAACCTAAACATGACACATGTAACCATTTGATGAAGTAATTCAAGACACTAAAACTAAGCTGCCTCCTCTCCCTCCCACAATCCATATAAACCCAACATTCATTTAATTATCACTTCATGCATTTTTTTTTTTGAGAGAGAGAGTCTCACTCTGTTACCCAGGTGGGAGTGCAGTGGCGCGATCTCTCGGCTCACTGCAACCTCTGCCTCATAGGTTCAAGCGATTCTCCTGCCTTAGCCTCCCGAGTAGCTGGGATTACAGGCGTGTGCCACCATGCCCAGCTAATTTTTTGTATTTTTAGTAGAGATGGGGTTTCACCATGTTGGCCAGGATGATCATGAACTCCTGACTTCAGGTGATCCACCTGTCTCAGCCTCCCACAGTGTTGGGATTATGGGCGTGAGCCACGGCTCCTGGACTTCATGCATTTTTGTCACCAATGAGTGGCTCCTTCTCATGAATAAACTATCCTTTACCTGTGGCCTGAAACTAGGGGCCTTATTTTTCATCCCTCCACCCCCACCTTACATACAAAATCCATAGTGGGTGACAGAGGGCGAAGGCGGGACGGTACCTGGGAGGCAGAGGTGAAGTCCATGTACTGGCGGCACTGTTCGCAGTGGTGAAAGGTGTTGTAGGCTGCATATTTGGTCAGCATTATGGACACAGTTTCTCGTTTCCTGGGCTCTTCAACTTTGGATTCCTTTATCACTTCTGTGTATAAAGGGGCAAAAAGCCATCCCATGAGATAAAATGTTTTCCCTATGCCTTGAAAGAAAAGTTCCCTTTTCCTCAAAAGGACTTTTCCATGCATTCTGTAATTTATGCCCTGAGAAACAGGTATGAAAATTTTAAAGTGTGCACATGTATACGAGCTAAAGAAAAGTGAGATGTAAGGTGCTTTCAAAGATGTCACTGCTCTGGGCCTCCTGCCCGGAGTTAGTGTCTCCTTGACCCAAAGAGCAGGTGAACTTGGCTGACTGCACTGACCTTGTTTGACTCCTGCCAGCTTCTCAGTATACACCAGGCTCATCAAACTGTACTTGGGGTCATGCACACTGACGTCAAAAGGCATTTTACTGAAGTTCTCGATGTCAGGCCAGGGCTCTCCCTCTGACTGGCTCACTTCAGTGCTTTCACTATGATCTAGGACAAGAAGGAAGTGTGCAGAGCAGGTGATTGGCCTCCCTTTCCCCCATGTGTCAGGGAGAATGGCTTGGTGGACAAAGGCATTTCTGAAAAAATGAGCTCCCCTATCCCATTGTAGGAGCCAGAATTGTTTACACCCTTGCTGAGAGGAACATTTGCCCTCAACGGCTCCCAGCATTTGTCTCTGCAGACTCAATTCACAAACTTCTGCATCTGTAAGATAACTGAGTCTCCATCACCCCAAATTTCCTTAAAAGTTTAATTCTGATGGCTGCATAATATTCCATGGTGTATATGTGCCACATTGTCCCTGTCCAGTCTATCATCGATGGGCATTTGGGTTGGTTCCAGGTCTTTGCTATTGTAAACAGTGCTGCAATGAACATTCGTGTGCATGTGTCCTTATAGTAGAATGATTTATAGTCCTTTGGATATATATGCAGTAATGGGATTGCTGGGTCAAATGGAATTTCTATTTCTAGGTCCTTGAGGAATCGCCACACTGTCTTCCACAATGGTTGAACTAATTTACACTCCCACCAGCAGTGTAAAAGTGTTCCTATTTCTCCACATCCTCTCCAGCATCTGTTGTCTCCAGATTTTTTAATGATCGCCATTCTAACTGGCATGAGATGATATCTCAATGTAGTTTTGATTTGCATTTCTCTAATGACCACTGATGATGAGCATTTTTTTTGTCTTCTTTTATAAAGTCTCTGTTCATATCCTTTGCCCACTTTTGAATGGGCTTGTTTTTTCTTGTAAATCTGTTTTAGTTCTTTGTAAATTCTGGATATCAGTCCTTTGTCAGACAACATGGAATATTATGCAGCCATCAAAAACGATGAGTTCGTGTCCTTTGTAGAGACATGGATGAACCTGGAGACCATCATTCTCAGCAAACTGACACAAGAACAGAAAATGAAATACCGCATGTTCTCACTCATAGGCAGGTGTTGAACAATGAGAACACACGGACACAGGGAGGGGAGCACTACACACTGGGGTCTGTTGGGGGGAATAGGGGAGGGACAGCAGAGGGTGGGGAGTTGGGGAGAGATAGCATGGGGAGAAATGCCAAATATAGGTGAAGGGGAGGAAGGCAGCAAATCACACTGCCACATGTGTACCTATGCAACTATCTTGCATGTTCTTCACATGTGCCCCAAAACCTAAAATGCAATAAAAAAATAAAAGTTTAATTTTGGGTGATCTTATTTCTGTTGAGATTTTTAGCTGTGGTGACACCCGAGAGATTTTAGGATGCCCTGAGCAAGATTCCCAGCGTCTTCCGCACATTAGAATTTTTACCAGCTCCCCAGCTGGTAAAAATTCCCACACTCAGGCCACACATCCCAGAAATAGTTCAGTCAGAATGTCTGACTGCCTAGGAAGCAGTCATATTGTTTAAGGCTCCTCAGGGTGTTGCAACGTGCAGTCAGGTTGAGACCAAATAGGCCTGGGTGTGAATCCTGGCCCTGTTTTTACATCATACCTTCAGGCACTATACTTAACCCTGAGTCCCCAGATTATTTTAAGCATGAGAGATGGTTTTATTTTTTGTGGGTTTAAGACAGGGTCTTGCTGTGTAACCCAGGCCAGAGTACAGTGACATGGTCAGAGCTCACTGCAGCCTCAACCACCTGGGATCAAATGATCCACCTCCTGGGTTCACACGATTCTCCTGCCTCAGCCTCCTGTATAGCTGGGATTACAGGCATGCACCACCACATCTGGCTATTTTTTGTATTTTTAGTAGAGATGGGGTTTCACAGTGTTGGTCAGGCTGGTCTTGAACTTCTGACCTCAGGTGATCCACCTGCCTCAGCTTCCCAAAGTGCTGGGATTATAGGCATGAGCCACCATGCCCGGCTGCCCCTTTGTCTTAATGCAGATGGGAAGAGGTTTTGTTCGTGGTGCCAGCATTCAGTTATACACATAGACATTTTCATCTCATTATAGTAATTCAGTGCCTTCATTCAGAGCCTATGGGTAAAATATAAGACATAATCTGCCTAATCGACAAAGGACTGGTATGCAGATATAAATATGCCCTGGATCCTTAAGCAGTTGAATACTACAACTTGATTTTTACAATAACCATCTAGGCAACTGATCTACCTAAAAAGCCTTTATTAAACGCCTTTTTTTGCAGCCATAAAAAAGAATGACTTCATGTCCTTTGCAGGGACATAGATGAAGCTGGAAGCCATCATTCTCAGGAGACTAACACAGGAACAGAAAACCAGACACTGCACGTTCTCACTCATAAGTGGGAGGTGAACAGAACACATGGACACAGGGAGGGCAACATCGCACACCGAGGCCTGCCAGTGGTGGTGGGGGTATGGGGAGGGACAGCATTAGGACAAATACCTAATGCATGCAGGGCTTAAAACCTAGATGACGGGTTGATAGGTGCAGCACACCACCATGGCACATGTCTACTTATGTAACTCACACGTTCAGAACATGTATCCCCAGAATTTAAAAATAAAAAAACTAAATAAAAACGCCTTTTTGCCCAGCACCTCGCTGGACATTGTAGAGAGGAGGCCAAAAGTAGAATACACAATGCCTGACTCCAATGAACTAAAAAAGGCTACAGTTTATTCAGAACTATTTGCCAGGCACATTATCTTTTCTTTCTTTCTTTATTTTGAGACAAAGTCTCACTCTGTCACCTAGGATGGAGTGTAGTGGCATGATCTTGGCTCACTGCAACCCTCCTCTTGGGTTCAAGTGATTCCTTAGCTTACTTAGTAAGTGATTCTTACTGCCTTAGCCTCCAAGTAGCTGAAATTACAGGTGTGCATCACCACGGTTGGCTGATTCTTGTATTTTTAGTAGAGACAGGGTTTCACCATGTTGCCCAGGCTGGTCTCTAATTCCCAACCTCAGGTGAACTGCTCATCTTGGCCTCCCAAAGTGCTGAGATTGCAGGTGTGAGCCACTGTGCCCGGCGTTGGGCACATTATCTTGAGCCCCCCAATAACTCTGCAGGTTAGGTACTGTACAAATCCCAGAAGCCAAAGGCAAGTTCCCAGGATTTGTGGTTCAATGTCTTTGTATCTTGCCCCTCTGCCCACTCCTGGCCTCAGCACTCACCAGTGTTGATCTCCTCCTCATCATAGACATCCACCTCCAGAAGCCTGATGAGCATGCGGAAGAGGATCCTGAGGAACTGTAAATAGGAACCCGTCTTTCCCACCTGATGGAAAGATTTTTAATTAGGGAGGAATGGAGGCAGGAAAGAGAAGGGAGGAAAAGAGAAAAGAGATTTCACACATTGCCTCTGCAGTGTCTCTTGCCTGAGAGGCCTAAATGAGGTCCTCATTGCTCTGTCACACCCGCTCCACCCCCACGAGGTTCTCTGGCTTCTTTCTTTCTTGGAGAAGACTTGCCAACCCCAACCTAAGAAAGGGCCCAGCCCGACCCTACCTTGGGGGGCCCAGTCAGCAGCAGCCGCCGGGGGTGGAAGGTTCGGGTGCCAGAGGCCGGGTCCGGCTGGTTGCTGTAGTCAGCATGGTGCTGCCGGGCTGAGGTCCACTGCCTGTAGTAAAGGGACTGCTCCTCACTGCTCATGTCCTTGTTCAGGAGTGGCCGCAGGGAGCTCATCCAGGCCACGTCGGCATGAGGCAGCAGGGATGAGGAGGACGGCAGCTTGCCACTCTTCTGGGAGCCCAGAAGGCTGTAGGCTGCTTTGGATAGGATCACCACCGGTGGCAGGGCTGTGTGCGGGCCCCGGTAGCCTCTGATGGGCTGTCCTGGCCATGGGAAGGTCCTGGGTCCTGAGGAGGACGAAGACGGCTTGGAGATGGTGCTGCTTGCCATCTGGGGGCCCAAGGAGTCACACTCTTGCTTCAGAGTCTCCCCAGCTCCAGTTCCAGGTGTGCTGGCAGAGACCCCTTCATCCATCCCCAGACTGGTGGCTGGGCTCTGGAAGCTGGGGATCAGAGACTGCTTCTTGGACTTGTCAGCTGTGCTGGAAGAGCTCACTCCATTCTCCATGATGGAACCTGTGAGAGGATAGACAGAACCCACCCACAGCAGCCTTGTTACTGATCTAAGGTGTGCTCTCCCAAGCTCCTGGCAGCTTTGGGAAGGAGGGAAAGACCAGGAACGCAGCGGAGAATGGGCTCGGCTCTGCAGCTGCAGACCCTGAGCAAGAAATCTTCCCTTTGCTGCTTCTCCACAGTGTTCCATGTTGCTCCCTTGCCCTGACTTCTCAGTGGGTTTGGCCAATGGGAGCCACTAGCAGGAGATGGGTGCTTCTTCCTTGGCTTCCCCTGCATGGTCACCATGGGTGGGCCGCCTTTCTCTACTGTGGGCTTTGGGTCAGGTCTGGAGAGGTGCTCCGGTTCCTCCCTGCGTCAGGCCCACAGTGGCCGAGGCTCCCTGGGGTTAACCACCGCCAGCACACCACACCTCTTGCTCCTTTTCAAAGTTCTGTCCACATCTTAGTAAACAGTCCCTCTACTAAACGCTCCGCAGATGACCTGGTTTGGGTTTGCCCTCCAATTCCTTCTAGGACCCCACCCAACACAGTCTCTACATTCAGGTCCTACCCTGGGGGCACTTCTCGGGGCTTCCTTCTGGGGACTGAGAACCTCATGCCTCTGGCTTCAGATCAGCTCCCCAGACTGCAACCCCTTCCATGGACTCCCAAGCCAGGGTGGGGGATGCCTTTGCATGAAGTAGGGTGGCAGGTATACACAATGCCAAGGGCGGTAGCTTTTCCCTAAAGTAGCCGCACGCATTTGGCCAATTCCTTTCAAATGTGTTTTTCCTCTGAATACACCAGCCACTCTTTAGTTTGAAGACAAACCAAAAGCTCATTACATTCAGGACTAAAGGCCCTCTCTGAGCTCAGCTTGCTGCTGCCAGACATGGAGGTTGAATCCCCACCCTGGGAGATCCTGAATGAACAGCCATCAATGAGAGATGATTAAAACCAGCCCCTCTACTCGCTCAGCTGCCAGTGTCTCTCCACCTTGTGGGAGAGCGTGCCTTCCCCCTGCAGTGCTGCGCGTTCTGGCCAGAGAACCTTCCCCATCATCCTCCAAGTCAGCCATGGCTGGGGTCCCTGTGCTCCATGGCCTGTAGGAAGGGACACAGTAGCCAAGGACAAATGACCTTTGTGAGCTCAGCAGCACAAGGCCAAGGATGTGCTTTGTGGGGCAGCTCCTCAAGTGAGGGAGAGGAAGGAGTGAGATGGAAGAGTCAGAGGAAGGAAGACAAGCTACCCTTCTCCTCATGCTGGTATCCAGAAGCTTCTGGATGTTATCTCCCCGCCTCCCTTCTGTGAACCTTTACTATCTCAAACCCCTTCACTCTATTCTGAAACTGCTCTCAAAGAGAAAACTGGGGAGCCTGTTGTGGTGGGGTTGAGGTCCACATGGTCAGCCCAAGCCCCTGGCGGTAGGAGAAGCCATGTGTGCAAGGGAGCAGGGCAGCTCTAGCTCCTCCAGGCTGAGGGTCACTATCAACAACAAACCCCACAGACCCTCCTCTTCTGTTACTGCACAGAGCTATCCAGCAGCTGCTGACAGAATGGACAGGAAGACCAGTGCTGTTTTCGGACAAAATTATGGTATGTTCGCATGTATGTGTCAGAGTTACAAAAGGATCTCAATGACAGTTCAAAAAAAGGGTGAGAGGCGGGGTGCGGTGGTTCATGCCTGTAATCCCAGCACTTTGGGAGGCCGAGGTGGGTGGCTCACTTGAGGTCAGGAGTTTGAGACCAGCGTGGCCAACATGGTGAAACCCCATCTCTACTAAAAATACAGAAGTTAGCTAGCTAGGCATGGTGGTGGGCACCTGTAACCCACTCGGAAGGCTGAGGGAGAAGAACCTCTTGAACCCAGGAGACAGAATTTGTAGTGAGCCAAGATGACACCAATGTACTGTAGCTGGCCGACAAGCGCAAAACTCCGTCTTAAAAAAAAAAAGGGTGAGGGGAGAAGGAGTGCATGCCACCCCAATGTTAAGGTTACCTCTGGAAGTGGGGGTATATTTCATTTTTAATGAACTGCAATTTCCACGTCCCAGGTTCAAGCGATTCTCCTGCCTTAGTCTCCAGAGTAGCTGGAATTTCAGGTGTGAGCCACCACGCCTGGTTAATTTTTTGTATTTTTAGTAGAGATGGGGTTTCACCACATTGACCAGGCTGGTCTTGAGCTCGTGACCTCAGGTCATCCACCCGCCTCGGCCTCCCAAAGTATGAGCCGCTGTGCCCAGACGACATTCTCCATGTTTTCTGCATTAAGCTTCATTACTTTCATAATCAGAAAAAATGGAAAGAGTGCTGCATTTGCTGTAATGCAATTTATCAGAAGAAAAGTCATGCCAGGCACTGCCACAGACCTGCAGTAATGCTGCAAGGCAGGGGCTGGCAGGATGCAGGGTGGGTCTTCGCTATGGACAGTGGCTCCAGAGGAGCCTTCGGCATACAATGCTTGCTGTTAACTGTTTAGAAATGCCATTGATTGATTCATTCAAGCAAACATTTTGTTCCAGGTAATGAGCCACTTAGCACAAACTTACAGCTTCATGACCTGGAAGCAAAACAGGGCATTGGCCGGGAGCAGTGGCTCACACCTATAACCCCAGCACTTTGGGAGGCCAAGGTGGGCAGATCACAAGGTCAGGAGTTCGAGACCAGCCTGACCAACATGGTGAAATTCCGTCTCTACTAAAAGTACAAAAATTAGCCAAACGTGGTGGCTCACATCTGTAATCCCATCTACTCAGGAGGCTGAGGCAGGAGAATCACTTGAACCTAGGAGGCGGAGGCTGCAGTGAGCCAAGATCGCACCATTGCACTCCAGCCTGGACGACAGAGACTCCGTCTCAAAAAAAAAAATTCTCTGAATAGGTGATAAAAATTAAAATAAATAAAAAATAAAAATAATTGAAAAAAAGGGAAGAGAAAAGAAAAACATAGGTTCTTGTTTGATACCCTGTAAGTATCTAGATATTAGCTTCTAGTATTATCACTAATACTATAAAACATTCCATGTTAAAAGTAATAGAGGACAGATGGTAAAATGAACTGCAACCAGAGCTGGAATCCAATATCTGAAAATGGGAATGGGGCAATGAATGTGAACTATGGCATGCCTATCCTAAGCACCTGTTTGCTTTGTCCCAAAATGCATTTCCTTTCACACAGACCCAGCTCAGTGGGGCCCAAAAGGCCTGGGAGGGCTGATACAGCTTTTCAAGGAGATGGCTTCACTCTCACTGGGGGCTTGATAACTGGGTAGTCATTTGAATATCTCATGTAAAGGGTTTACTAAGATTAAAATGGCTATTAATATTTATTAAGACAAAAAAAAAGAAAAAGAAAAACAAGGCCTTTGTGCAAATATGAAATGCATAAGAACCATTAGAAGATTAAGGGTAGAAAAGACGAGGGAAATGGTACAGGCTGGGGTTTATAAAATTGGTTTTGGCCTATTACCAAGCTCTTCTTCAAATGTTTACCCAGAGAAGTATTTTCTGGCTGTTCAATAGTCATGTTTTTCAAGCATCTCCCCTATGGAGCTGGGTCTGGAGAGGATGCCAGAGTCCCTGAAGGCTCCTCTGAAGGCCATCGGGGTGTCAGTAAATGCCTCTGCCTTCCACATTCCTGCACATCTCCTGACTCATGTCCCTCACTCCATGAAAGAGAAAAGAAAGTACTGACCTGACGTCCCTGTGACAGCGCTGCTATTGCTCTGGGGCCGCTCCAGGTCGATGAGCAGCTCATCAGAGTCATTTTCGCTGACAGCAGCTCTCTCCTGCTCCTTCCCGCTGAGGTCCAGGGCAACAGTGGGTCCCCGAATGACCTCTTTTGAGACATAGCAGCATGCCAGACCCACCTCCTGCTCCAAGGCCGTGCGAGTTAAATAGCTTGAGTCAATTAACCGGAGGTCACAGTACTTCAAAGACCTGAACAAAAGTAATTGTGTTGTTGGTGAGTCCATCTGGCCAGGCACACAGCACGTATGTGTTGCTGGATGCAACACGCAGCAGTGAAAATCCTAGGTTTCAGTGCCAGGTGAGCACCGACTGAAACTTCAGCTCTGCCACCTCCCAGCTATTATGACCCTTCTCTGTGCTTCATTTTCTTCGAATATGAAGAGTGGATAGTAGTGCCAGGCTCATATCATTGTTGTAAAGACTGAATACATGTAAGGCATTTAGGGCACTACTTGACATGCCCAATAAGCATTCAACTAATGCTTTCATTGTAGTTGTTGTTGCCCTCTAGTCTACGGAGTCTAGGTCCTTGAGAGGGGTGGGAATAGCAGATTAACAAACACAAAGCACTTTATATATATGTGTGTGTGTTTATGTGTGTGTGTGTGTGTGTGTGTGTGTGTGTATAAATCCTGCTTTTCCTCCCTGCATCTCTGATATTTCTTAAATGTGGCTATCTCTCATTCCCAAAATTGCTGGGTGCTCTCTGGAAAGTTAAAAAATAAAAGAAAAGAAGGCTGTATAGCTGAATTTCTTATATCCCTGCATAAAACAATCCTCTTCTCATTTCCTGCCAAACAAAGGAAATGATTGGGCCATCAGCCAAATTTTCATCATCAGTTCAGCTGGGCAACTAATAAAAAATGGAATTAATTATTGAAACTGTACCTAGGAAAGGTTTCTCCAAGAGGATCTTTGCCAGTTAATATCACAATACAAGGTAGACCGTCTAAATCTTGGTATGTCCGAGGGATCCACTCTTCTGGTTCATTTCCTCTCCAAGTCTATAGAAAGAGACCCGTACATTAAAATTAAAACTCCTCATTTAAATTTCCACTTTTTTGCAGGTTTCTAAGTCCAGATTTTGGACACACTGTGCTTTCAAATTACTTCTACTAAGTGTTTATATATGTGTATATATGTATATTTTAATTGCTACTACACAGCATATACAAGGCACTTCTGTAGGAACTGTAGTTTTTTTGTTATTGTTTGTTTTCTTCTATAGAAGGCCCGTAGTTTTGTTTTTTTTTTTGAGACGGAGTTTTGCTCTTGTTACCCAGGCTGGAGTGCAATGGCGTAATCTCGGCTCACCGCAACCTCCGCTTCCTGGGGTCAGGCAATTCTCCTGCCTCAGCCTCCTGAGTAGCTGGGATTACAGGCATGCACCACCATGCCCAGCTAATTTTTTTGTATTTTTAGTAGAGGCAGGGTTTCACCATGTTGACCAGGATGGTCTCGATCTCTTGACCTCGTGATCCATCCACCTCGGCCTCCCAAAGTGCTGGGATTACAGGCGTGAGCTACCACGCCTGGCTAATTTCTCATATATATTAAGACATATATACACAAACACACATATCTTCAATAAATGGAACATCAATCTTGAAAACGTGAATATATCAATGAAAAGAAAAGTAATCCCACCAATCTGAAAAAATATTCAAAAGTAAAATGATTAGTTTGAGGCCCAGGTGATGTCGACACTGTTCTCAGAACACGAGGACCAGGTCCAGCTGGCCACTTTCCCCTTCTGGAGAAGACAATGAAAGCCACCATTTCTTGCCTGGACTTTTGCAATGGCATCCTTAAAATAATGATGTAACTAGTGTAAACAAAGCTGATGGGAAGTTCGAATGGGATGGAGTCCACAGCTGCTCAGCAAGGCCTCTGCAGGCAGATAGTGTCACCAGATTCCCTCCTTGCTGGGCAGGGCATCTCTGAAAAAAGGCAGCAGACCATCAGGAACTTAAAAATAACACCCCCACCTTCCTGGGACAGAGCACCTGGGAAAAGCGGCAGTTGTGGGTATAGCTTCAGCAGATTTAAACATCCCTGCCCAGCAGCTCTGAAGGGAGCAGTGAATCTCCCATCACAGTGTTTGAATTCTGATAAGGGACAGACTGCCTCTTCAAGTGACTCCCTGACCCCCATGTATCCTGACTGGAAGACACCTCACAGAGGAGTGTTCTGGCTGGCATCTGACAGGTACCCTTCTGGGATGAAGCTACCAGAGGAAGAACAAGCAGCAATCTTTGCTGTTCTGCAGCCCCTGCTGGTGATTCCCAGGCAAGCAGGGTCTGGAGTGGACCTCCAGCAAACTCCAGCAGACCTGCAGCAGAGGGGCCTGAGTGTTTGAAGGAAAACTAACAAACAGAAATAGTTTCAACATCAACAGAAAGGATGTCCACTCAGAGACCCCATACAAAGGTCACCAACCTCAAAGACCAAAGGTAGATAAATCCACAAAGATGGGAAGAAACCAGAACAAAAAGGCTGAAAATTCCAAAAACCAGAATGCCTGTTCTCCTCCAAGGGATCACAACTTCTTGCCAGCAAGGGAACAAAACTGGATGGAGAATGAGTTTGATGAACCAACAGAAGCAGGCTTCAGAAGGTGGGTAATAACAAACTTCTCTGAGCTAAAGTAACATGTTCTAACCCAATGCAAGGAATCTAAGAACCTTGAAAAAAGGTTAGACAAAATGATAACTAGAATTACCAGTTTAGAGAAGAACATAAATGACATGATGAAGCTGAAAAACACGAGAACTTTGTGAAGCATATGCAAGTTTCAATAGCCAAATTAAGCAGAAGAAAGAATATCAGAGATTGAAGATCAAGTCAATGAAATAAAGCCAGAAGACAAGATTAAAGAAAAAAGAGTGAAGAGACATGAACAAAGCCTCCAAGAAATATGGGATTACGTGAAAATACCAAATCTATGTTTGATTGGTGTACCCAAAAGTGACGGGAGAATGAAACCAAGCTGGAAAACACTCTTCAGCATATTACCCAGGAGAACTTCCCCTGGAAGGCAGACCAATATTCAAATTCAGGAAATACAGAGAACACCACAAAGATACTCCTTGAGAAGAACAACCCCAAGACACATAATCATCAGATTCACCAGGGTTGAAATGAAGGAAAAAATGCTAAGGGCAGCCAGAGAGAAAGGTTGGGTTACCCACAAAGGGAAGCCCATCAGACTAACATCACATCTTTCTGCAGAAACCCTATAAGCCAGAAAAGAGTGGGGGCTGATAGTAAACATTCTTAAAAAAAAGAATTTTCAACCAAGAATTTAATGTCCAGCCAAACTAAGCTTCATAAGTAAAGGAAAATAAAATCCTTTATGGACAAGCAACTGCTGAGAGATTTTGTCACCCCCAGGCCTGCCTTACAAGAGTTCCTGAAGGAAGCACTAAACACAGAAAGGAACAACCAGTATCAGCCACTGAAAAAACATACCAAATTGTAAAGATCGTCCATGCTAGAAAGAAACCGTATCAACTAACGGGCAAAATAACCAACTAGCATCATAATGGCAGGATCAAATTCACACATAACAATATTAACCTTAAATGTAAATGGGCTAAATGTCCCAATCAAAAGACACAGACTGGCAAATTGGATAAAAAGTCAAAACCCATTGGTGTGTTGTATTCAGGAAACCCATCACATGCAAGGATACACACAGGCTCAAAATAAAGGAATGGAGGAATATTAACCAAGAAAATGGAAAGCAAAAAAAAGCAGAGATTGCAATCCTGATTTCTGTTAAAACAGACTTTAAACCAACAAAGATCAAAAGAGACAAAGAAGGATATCACATAATGGTAAAGGGATCAATGCAACAAAAAGAGCTAACTATCCTAAATATACATGCACTAATACAGGAGCACTCAGATTCATAAAGCAAATTGTTAAGACCTACAAAGATACTTATATTCCCACACAATAATAGTGGGAAACTTAAACACCCCACTTCCAATATTAGACAGATCAGTGAGACAGAAAATTAACAAGGATATCCAGGACTTGAACTCAGTTCTAGACCAACTGGACCTAAGAGACATCTACAGAATTCTCCACCCCAAATCAACAGAATATACATTCTTCTCAGCACCACATCATACTTATTCTAAAATTAGCCACCTAATTGGAAGTAAAACACTCCTCAGCAAATGCAAAAGAACAGAAATCATAACAAAGAGTCTCTCAGACCACAGTGCAATCAAATTAGAACTCAGAATTAAGAAACTCACACAAAACCACACAACTACGTGAAAACTGAACAACCTGCTCCTGAATGACTACTAGAAAAATAATGAACTGAAGGCAGAAATACAGATGTTCTTTGAAACCAATGAGAATGAAGATACAATGTACCAGAATCTCTGGGACATAAAGCAGTGTCTAGAGGGAATTTTTTTTTTCTGCACATCATACAATCAATGTTTCAAAATAGAGGGAAATTTATAGCACTAAATGCCTACAAGAGAAAGCAGGATTGATCTAAAACTGACACCCTAACAACACAATTAAAAGAAGTAGAGGAACAAGAACAAACAAATTCAAAACCTAGCAGAAGATAAGAAATAACTAAGATCAGATAAGAACTGAAGGAGCTAGAGACACAAAAAACCCTTAAAAAAAAATCAATGAATCCAGGAGCTGGTTTTTTTGAAAAGATCAACAAAATAGATAGACTGCTAGCCAGACTAATAAAGAAGAAAATAATCCAATGGACATAATACAAAATGATAAAGGGGATATCACCACCTATCCCACAGAAATACAAACTACCATCAGAGAATATTATAAATACTTCTATGCAAATGAACCAGATAATCTAGAAGAAATAAATTCCTGGACACTTACACCCTCCCAAGACTAAACCAGGAAGAAGTTGAATCCCCGAATAGACCAGTAACAAGTTCTGAAATTGAAGGAGCAATTAATAGCCTACCAACCAAAAAAAGTCCAGGACCAGATGGTTTCACAGCCAAATTCTACCAGAGGTACAAAAAGGAGCTGGTATCATTCCTTATGAAAATATTCCCTACAACAGAAAAAGAGGGAATCCTTCCTAACTCATTTTATGAAGCCAGCATCATCCTGATACCAAAACAAGGCAGAGACATACTAAAAAAGAAAATTTCAGGTCAATATCCCTGATGAACATTGATGCAAAAATCCTCAATAAAATACTGGCAAAGCAAATCCAACAGCACATCAGAAAGCTTATCCATCACAATCAAGTTGGCTTCATCCCTGGGATGCAAGGCTAGTTCAACACATGCAAATCAATAAACGTGATCCATCACATAAACAGAACTAAAGAGAAAAACCACATGTTAATCTCAATATATGCAGAGAAGGCCTTCAACAAAATTCAACAGCCCTTTATGCTAAAAACTCTCAATATGCTAGGTACTGATGAAATGTGTCTCAAAATAATAAGAGCTGTTTATAACAAACCCATAGCCAATACCATACTGAGTGGGCAAAAACTGGAAGCATGCGCTTTGAAAACTGGCACAAGACAAGGATGCCCTCTCTCACCACTCCTATTCAACATAGCATTGGATGTTCTGGCTAGGGAAATCAGGCAAGAAAAAGAAATAAAGTTTATTCGACTAGGGAAAGAGGAAGTCAAATTGGCTCTATTTGCAGATAACATGATTGTATATTTAGAAGATCCCATTGTCTCAGCCCTTAAATCTCCTTAAGCTGATAAGCAACTTCAGCAAAGTCTCAGGATATAAAATCAATGTGCAAAAATGACAAGCATTCCTATACACCAATAACAGACAAACAGAGAGCCAAATCATGAGTGAACTCCCATTCACAATTGCTACAAAGAGAATAAAATACCTAGGAATACAACTAATAAGGCATGTGAAGGACCTCTTCAAGGAGAACTACAAACCACTGCTCAAGGAAATAAGAGAAAACACAAACAAATGGAAAAATATTCCATGCTCATAGTTAGAAAGAA